CCTACGGAGGTGGCGGTCGGGGTATGCGAGTCGTCCGCGACGCAGAATCCCTAAAGGAGAGCTTCGAGCGTGCCACCTCCGAGGCCAAGTCCGCCTTTGGCAACGGGACCGTCTTTGTTGAGCGATTCCTCGACAAGCCCAAGCACATTGAGGTCCAGCTGCTTGGTGACAACCACGGTAACATTGTCCACTTGTATGAGCGTGATTGCTCCGTCCAGCGACGACACCAAAAGGTTGTCGAAATCGCCCCCGCCAAAGACCTTCCCGCCGAGACCCGCGATGCCATCCTGGCTGATGCTGTCAAGTTGGCCAAGTCTGTCAGCTACCGCAATGCGGGCACTGCGGAGTTCTTGGTCGACCAGCAAAACCGATACTACTTCATTGAGATCAACCCCCGTATCCAGGTCGAGCACACCATCACCGAAGAAATTACGGGCATCGACATCGTCGCCGCTCAGATCCAGATTGCCGCTGGTGCTACCCTTGACCAGCTCGGACTGACCCAGGACCGCATCTCTACCCGTGGTTTTGCTATCCAATGCCGCATCACCACCGAGGACCCCGCTGAGCAGTTTCGCCCGGATACTGGCAAGATCGAGGTCTACCGATCTGCTGGTGGCAACGGTGTTCGTCTTGATGGTGGCAACGGTTTTGCTGGTGCCGTCATCACTCCTTACTACGACTCCATGCTGGTCAAGTGCACATGTCATGGCTCAACGTACGAAATTGCCCGCAGAAAGGTCCTTCGTGCCTTGATAGAATTCCGCGTTCGTGGTGTCAAGACCAACATTCCCTTCCTCGCCTCCCTACTCACTCACCCCACCTTCATCGACGGCAACTGCTGGACGACCTTCATTGACGATACCCCCGAGCTCTTCGATCTCGTTGGAAGTCAGAACCGCGCTCAGAAGCTGTTGGCCTATCTGGGTGACATGGCGGTGAACGGCAGCTCCATCAAGGGACAAATCGGCGAGCCTAAGCTCAAGACCGACATCATTCTGCCTGAGCTCATCGCACCCGATGGCCACAAGGTTGATGTCAGCGAGCCCTGCCAGCGTGGTTGGAGAAACATTATTCTCGACAAGGGCCCCAAGGCCTTTGCCAAGGCTGTTCGCGAGTACAAGGGCTGCTTGCTCATGGATACCACTTGGAGAGACGCCCACCAGTCTCTCCTTGCCACTCGCGTCCGAACCGTGGATCTGCTAAACATTGCCAAGGAGACCAGCCATGCCTTGTCTAACCTCTACAGTCTGGAGTGCTGGGGTGGTGCCACCTTTGATGTTGCCATGCGATTCCTCTACGAGGATCCCTGGGACCGTCTCCGCAAAATGCGAAAGCTTGTCCCCAACATTCCCTTTCAGATGCTTCTGCGTGGTGCCAACGGTGTTGCCTACTCGTCGCTGCCGGACAATGCCATTGACCACTTTGTCGAGCAAGCCAAAAAGAACGGTGTTGATATCTTCCGTGTCTTTGACGCCCTCAACGACATCGACCAGCTCGAGGTCGGTATCAAGGCTGTCCAAAAGGCCGGTGGTGTTGCCGAAGGAACCGTGTGTATTTCTGGCGACATGCTGGTAAGAGGTCCTCCCATGTCTTTGACGCTCACTCTGTCCGCATTTTTTATTTCCAGTCATCCCTGTATTCCATGCCACCCATCTACAATGCTTCTCTGCATTTATGTTCTTTGACAAGCATTACTACACGACGCGACAAGCACTGACTCGCCCTCTCGTTAGAACCCCAAGAAAAAGTACAACCTGGACTACTACTTGGCTCTGGTTGACAAGCTGGTCAAGCTTGACATTGACGTTCTGGGAATCAAGGACATGGCTGGTGTTCTCAAACCGCACGCCGCCACTCTTCTGATCGGATCTATCCGCAAGAAGTATCCTGACCTCCCCATCCACGTTCACACCCACGACTCTGCGGGCACTGGCGTCGCCTCCATGGTTGCCTGCGCCAAGGCCGGCGCTGACGCTGTTGACGCCGCCACTGACAGCTTGTCTGGCATGACTTCTCAGCCGAGTATCAACGCCATCCTGGCCTCACTCGAAGGCACTGGCCTGGAGCCTGGCCTGGACGCCCGCCACGTTCGCGCCCTCGACACGTACTGGTCGCAACTCCGTCTTCTCTACTCCCCATTCGAGGCCCACCTGGCTGGTCCCGATCCCGAGGTTTACGAGCATGAGATTCCCGGTGGTCAGCTCACCAACATGATGTTCCAGGCCTCCCAGCTCGGTCTGGGCTCCCAGTGGCTCGAGACCAAGAAGGCCTACGAACATGCCAACGACCTTCTTGGCGACATTGTCAAGGTCACACCCACCTCCAAGGTTGTGGGTGATCTTGCCCAGTTCATGGTTTCGAACAAGCTCTCGGCCGAGGACGTCAAGGCGCGCGCCTCGGAGCTCGACTTCCCTGGGTCCGTTTTGGAATTCTTGGAGGGCCTGATGGGCCAGCCATACGGAGGATTTCCGGAACCTCTTCGTTCTGATGCTCTGCGTGGACGCCGCAAGCTCGACAAGCGTCCGGGTCTGTTCCTCGAGCCCGTCGACTTCGCCAAGGTCAAGAAGGACCTCGCCAAGAAGTATGGCGCTCCCGTCACCGAATGCGACATCGCATCCTACGTCATGTACCCCAAGGTCTTTGAGGAGTACAAGAAGTTCCAGCGGCAGTACGGTGACCTGTCTGTCCTGCCGACGCGGTTCTTCCTCAGCAGGCCCGAGATTGGCGAAGAGTTCAATGTCGAGCTCGAGAAGGGCAAGGTCCTCATCCTGAAACTTCTTGCCGTGGGCCCTCTCAGCGAGAACACGGGCCAACGCGAGGTCTTTTTCGAGATAAACGGCGAGGTTCGACAGGTCACAGTGATTGACAACAAGGCCGCCGTGGAAAACATTAGCCGACCCAAGGCCGATCCCAGCGACTCCAGTCAAGTCGGCGCCCCCATGTCTGGCGTCCTTGTTGAGCTCCGCGTGCACGAGGGCTCTGATGTCAAGAAGGGTGACCCGCTGGCAGTCTTGTCAGCCATGAAGATGGTGAGTCAATCATCTCTCACACGTAACATGCAATGAAACATTTTCGACATTTGCTAACTCAGCCCCAGGAGATGGTCATCTCAGCTCCCCATAGCGGCAAGGTCGCGAGCCTCCAGGTCAAGGAAGGCGACTCAGTCGACGGTTCGGACCTTGTGTGCAGGATCACAAAAGCCTAGGCTTGTCCCTGACTGAGACGGGAAAAGAGGGGGGGGAAGAAGGACGAGGTTACAAGATTTTGGATCGTACGGTCGGACGGTTTGGTAGTCTGAAACTGCGCATCCAGGGACGAAGTAGGTCACACGTACCGAAATCGCAAGAACACTGCATGACATGAATAGTGGGAGGTTTTCGGAGTTATTTTCTTTCGCCTGTTGTCTTTGCTCTACGTCGCGTATGGCAGATTTTGCTTGTACGGATACAAAATATAAAGACGAGTACGGATAGAATGCAGTTGCAACGTGACGTGGAGGGCTGTAAATGCTCATGAGCAGGTATAAGGCGCCGCTGGTTATTACATGACCACACAGACCAAACCCTGAAGGTTGTGACATGACCGGGGGGATGTAGAACCAATAGAAGGACGTCGTCACGGAGTACAGAGTACATGGGGCAACATACGTTGCAATTCAGACCCGGAAAGTTTAGCCAGGAGCGACATGGATGGGGATAAGTTATTCAGAGCGCATATAGGGCGGGGAAGTACCGTTTCCTGACAGTCTCCAATCAAGAGGCTTCAAGTCGTTGATTAGGGCGCGCCTCTGTTATTTGATCCATTATACATTTGAGCAACTTGGGTAAGCAGTTGACAGCTACTGCAAGAAACAAGCCGAGTTGCCGTCGACACCGACCCCGCAAACTGGTAGAGTTCCTTGCCAGATCACTCGTGGCCAAACTGGCAGGGACTTGACTGCTTTTCTTGACAGATGTTCTGCAAGACCCGCGTGTTTCCACGTGGCGACGAGAGGTGTTGCCCGCTGTACTCGGCACACCTCACTGACGGTCTTGCGTGTACAGGGTAAAAAGAGAGAATAACTGCTGGCGGAGAGGAGACACGGGGCAAGTCTCCTGGTCGCGACGCAGGCTGCGCCGATGGATTTGCCTCGTCTCAGCGCCCGCGTCCGCGTCCGCATCCGGGGCCGCCCAGCGCCAAAATCCGGGGAGGCGGGGGACATCTGGAGGGGGGGTTGGCGTGCGACCTGCCCGAGTGGGACTGCCAGCGAATGTCGCTCGGTCGCGCGTTGGGAAGACGCGGTTGTAGATGAAGACTCGCGGGTGCGTGTGGGCATGGACCTTTGTGTCCGGCGTGCGACCCCGATGAAAGAGTGTCGAGCAGTACCCAGTACACGGTACCCAGTACGGAGTACCGTCTGTTGGCAATCTGGCAGATGTAAGTGTACAGAGTACCGAGTACGTGTCAAGTAAGCGTCTGCTCAAGTACCTAGTACTTCCTTGGCCTCGGTACTCAGGTGCACCCGGCCTTCCCCGCTCGCGGCAGTGCTAGCGCAGCGCACCGAGTAATCTGGACTCTTCAAAATACAAGACGGCCTGCAGCCACCACGCTCCAGACATCGTTGACCACTCACCGCACGACACCACACAACACACCAACACGTACGCTACGGTCGCTGCTCGCAAATTTTCGTCTCCCATCATATTTAGCCGGTGGCTTTGGCCAGATATCAGTCTTGAAACCCCCCGAATCCATCGAAAGGAGGAAGAAGAAAAAAAAAAAAGAGAAACCAAGTCTGCCATCGTGGACACGATTGAAATTCCGGCCGCACAACACCCACGTCCAGCAACCACCCTTGCGCTCCCGTTGCACTCGTCCGATCTGTCCTGTCCTCGCTGCCACGAGCCTCTGTCGACACCTCTGACCCGCACACGTGGCCTCAACCGCCAGTTCCGGCTTTGGGCCCTCCGCCTCGAATACTCTACATCGCTGGAGATTCTCGTGACTGCGGCACTGCCATGGAGAGTCTCCAGCTGTCCCAGGTCCTTGCTGACTTGAGCAACCTCGGGGCTGCGGTAGGCGTTTGCCACCCTGATGCCGACGCGTTCGACGCACCTTGACTAAGTGTCGTCGCTGTAGGAACCCGAGACTGCCACCGCCATCGTCAACGCCAACATCCCCATTGTCAAGGCAGAATTACCTGAACCGAAGGCTTCTGTACAAAACCCCCAGGGTCTGCGCCCGGCCAACATGAAGCGTTCGTGGTCGTCGGAAGCCAGTGTACCCCCCAAGTTTGACAAGCTAGGTCGACGAATCCTCATCAACTCGGGCTCTCGATCCGGCTCTGCCGCCAACTCATCTCCCCCACGCGCTGCCCGGCCCGTCTCATCTCCATTTCGCAACGGCGCAAGGCGATTTTGTCCTAACGAGAAACATCTAGGTTGACGACGACTTGGAGAGGGCATCCACTCTCATGGCCCTCTACGATATCCGCGCCAAGATAAAGCAGCAGGACAATAGCAGCCTCATGAGAGCCCGCGAGAAGATCAATGCCCTGGCCGCCAAGCAGCAGGCTGCTGACCGTAGTATGAGGGCTTCCGACGAGCTCCGGCGCCATCGATATTCGTTTCCCAAGCCTGGTCTGTGAAAAGTTGCGGGCCCGTCACTGTTTTGGAATTTTTGGATTGTCTTTCACGCGGGTGAAGCTGGGGCATTTTATCTTGCAAGGCGTTTCAGGGGACTTGCACTCGGACAAGTAATTTCATCAAGTCCAACATCGTCTTTGGCTTTTCATTGACGCCAACACTGCCTGCAAATCAGCGGCGCAGGCAGTGTCGGCGTCGGTGAAAAGGCACTTTTTGACACGATTTCTTCTTCTTCTTCTTCTTCTTCTCCGGCGACGACCTACGACCTAAGCAAAGTTATGACGACACCATTTGTTGGCGCGGGCGAGACAGACAGGCACGGAGTGCAGGATGAAATGGGGGTGATGCCGGTGGCGAGGGCTCATGTTTGTATCGTATCCTGATGCCGAGAATATCGAGCTCGGCCTAGTTCTTCTGCTTTACGGGCATTGGGAGCTGGACTTGTTCCGTCGGAGCGGAAGCCGGATTGTCGTTTGCTCCGAGTGGATTTCGACGTCTCCGAGTTGCCGAGCCTAGGCCGGCCCTGCGAACCAGTTCCGTCCGGGGCAGTCACTTTCGACTGCTGACTTGAGGACGCCAGCGTCGCGATCCAAGCGGTTTGCTTTTGCAAAGGGGCATTTCTGTACGATATCATACCACTTCCACCGACCCAAGTAGTAATGTCTGGTTCCGGGGGACACGTCTACAGCGGGACTGTCAGTGCGCTCGGGGGATCCTCCCATTCCCATGGACCATGTGCGCGCGGTAGAGCACACGTCTCGTCTCGGTGGTGAATGTCCGGGAAGAGCAATCGTTGCAGTCTACGGCCAGTGATTGCCACCGCTGCCCTGCCTGGCCTGGCGTGCAATGTTGCCGAACCTGGAAAACAGCTGGCTGGTCGTGGAACAAGGTGCGGCTGTCGCATCCGCAGAGGCAAGCAATGCGCATTCGACGGCGGACGCACGGGCGACACGACGCGACGCGACACGACAAGACACGACTCGACCCAGCTGCCAGTGATTATTGTTTGGGGCCCTCGCGCAGGGAGCCGCATCGCTGCCCCTTGGGAGATACGCCTCCCGCTGCAAGAATGCAACAGTGCAGCCGGCGCTCGCCTGTCTCGCCTCGTCTCCGAGCGCGAGTTGGCCGCATCCGTGCAAGGCCTGTTCATCTTCGTCCGAGGGGTCAGCCTTGGCTGGCGCGGCGGTGCGGTGCTGACATTGCCGAGTACGAGTACAGGTCCTGCCGATGACGTGTGTGTGTGCGCGCACGCCGTTCGGATTCGCTTGTTTGCGCGGCATCCGGGACCGTGTGTGCTGGCTGGCCAGTGACGGCGGAGCTGAAGGGCCCCACCGGACGTGGTCCGTGGTCCGTGGTTTGTGGTTTGTGGTTTGTGGTTTGCTGCTGGCCGCGTCGGCCCAGGAAGGAGCACCAGCTCGCACAGCCACCGCAATGGGGCGGCGCTGGGCCCGGACTAGCCCCGTCGAGTCATTGCCAAGGCTGACAAACGTTGAATACAAAAGCACGCTCGGCCCCGGGCGCAGGCAACTCGAGCTCTTTTGCCGAACCAGACATTTGCGGCCACCGCTGCGTCGTCGCCATTCCATCCATCCATCCATCCATCCATCCATCCATCCGTCGCTTCGTCATCCTCCGCCATCAGGCTGTCGCGTGCGCGTACGAATTGACCGGGGCCACGTCGGAATTTCCGCATCCCGCACTCTCCTCGCCCGTTGGCCTGCGCAACACGTCATCCGTCCGTCCCGCCGCTGTCCATCGCTGCGCCGACGAACCAACCACCAGCCTATCCATCGTCCGTCATCGTCGTTGGCATCAAAACTCGTCGTCGCCTTTGCATCTCTGCTCAAGGCTCCTTCGTTGTCGACGCCAAGAGAGGAAAAGACCTCATCATGGCGCCCGCGGCCGTTTCTGGCGCTTCGCCGGGATCCGCCGTCACGGGCCTCGTCAAGAGAGCCTTGTACTGCAACAGCTACGGCTACACGTACAGGTGCAACAGCAGATGGTACGACTGGGGCCGCTGGGTCGTTCTCGCGGGCATCATTGTCGTCTTTGTGCTCATCATGTTTACCTGCGCGTAAGTTGCTGCCCTGCTGCCACCCCCCGGCCCGCTTTGTCCCGAAGACGGGGAAACCACGGACAAGAGAACTCACCAACCGCCCGTGTACAGTTGCACCGCCCGTCGCCGGCGTCGTCGCGGCGCCCAGCCCATGTACGGAACGGGCTGGATGGCTCCCGCCGGCAAGTTCGGCAACAACCAGCAGCACCAGATGAACAGTTACAACCAGGGCTACGCCCAGCCGCAGGGATACTACAACACGCCTCCGCCGTACGGCCAGCAGCAGGCGCCTCAGAACACTGGCACCACGTTCAATCCCAACGACGGGTACTACGGCCACCAGCAGCAGTACGGCGTTCAGCAGCCGCCCAATACGTACCAACCTGACGGCGGGTATGCCCCCCCTCCTGGGCCTCCTCCTGGCAAGTAGGGCGACCTCGGGGCTCTTATTTTTTTTTTCCTTCTCTTTTCACTCGAGGGGTGTGAAGACTGTATGCGGCCTTTCTCCCTTGTCAGGATCGTCGGATCGTCGGATCGTCGGATTTCTGTAGGATGGGCTGGGGTTGATGCCGAGAAGGGATGGCGTTTCGAGCACATGTTGCCGTTTCTGGGGCGTAGCTAAGTCGACGATACCTGAAAGAATTAATCAAGTTTGCAACGTCGTGCTGCGTGTCTGTCTGCCGGGCCTTTGTGCGTTGTGCCGCGCCGGCCTTGAAGCGTCGGGATGTGGCGTGGCTCAACTGGCCCGCCGAGTGTCAGGTTCATCAAAGTCTCGTTCGGAAGCAGAGGTGCGTGGAAACTTTCTCGTCCCCGCCGCCGGATGCTCCATCTGACGTGACGACAGCGCGGCGGCTGCGCAATCCCCAGCGCGGACTCCCCTTGTCCTTGTTGCGAGGCTCTCTAGATGGCTTCGAGAATGGCCCGTGCCGCCAGATGCGCCGCCCGACGCGTCGCATCTCCACGTCTTCCATGGCGGAGACCGCCAGCACTAGTGACTGGAACCTGTGCCGGGAACAGCAGCGACCAGAGGACCACGCCCAGCCGCGCAGGGTGGGCGCGTGTAACGAAATCTCGCGCCGTGCCTTTCCCCAACGCCCAATCGTAATACTGACCCGTGTCTCACAGGCGCCACGGCACGGAGAGCACGAGAACAACCAACCACAACGATGGCCCAGCGAGCCCGCGAGCTGAGTACGGGCCGCCGATGGGCTTCGTTCGTCGTCACCGGCACGGAGGACTGGTGTGCCCGCGGCCATTGCTGCTCGGGAAGCCGCTGTCGCGGGCTGCCTGGCTTGGGCTCGCCGTTCTGACCCATGGGCCACGGACCAGGGACCAGGCAGATGAGGGCTCCGAGCCTCGTCTGGCAGAAAGCGAACATGCATGCCTTGGGGAGTCGCACTGCTCCGATTCGCCCGCCCCCCCTTTTCCCCTTTCCCCTTTCCCCTTCCCCTCCTGGGCTCCTGGGAGCGGGAGGAGAGAGGACTCGAGGACGGAGGAGGCTGGGCGAGTACGGCATATGCTGGCGGCATCTCGACCCAATGCCGCTTAAATAGGCCGCCGCTCCGCTGTTGTCTCGTCCGTGCTGCCTCTCTGTAATTTTTTCTTCTTCCCCTCCAAACGCCGGCTCGAGCGCGAGCTTAGGCGTAGCACCAGGCGCAGGCGAAACAAGCGCGCTCGTCGTCAGCGTCGACGAGGAAGAATGGGGGCCGACCTCCTGCAGGGCCATCTTGTCGTCAGGGACATTGAGCGATGGTGCTTGCGGAAGGGCCGCCGGGGCGGCACCGCCCCCGTCCTGGCTGTGATATTCTTCGACACGGACCCCTCGGCCGAGGACTACGTCCGCATCAAGGCGCACGTCGCGGAAAAGGTGAAGCTCGGTCTTACCTCCCCCCCCCCTTTCCAGCACCGAGAATAGCTTCGACTGACTGGGGCGTCGGGCGGGGGCGGCACCGTGGCTCTAGGCCGGCGTCGGGTACTGGGTGTACGAAATGTCGCCTGACGCTTCCTGCGCGCAGGTGCAGACGCAGATCCGGGCGCTCAACGAGAACGCGCGGGTGCACGGGATACTCGTGCAGCGGCCGCTGCCAGAGCACCTCGGCGAGCCCAAGGTGATGGCGGCCATCGACCCGCGCAAGCACGTCGAGGAGTACCGCGACGGGCGGGCGAGCAACATCGCCGCCGACGCCGTGGGCCGGCTGCTCTCCAGCCACGGGAGGCGCGGCGCGCTGCGCCGGTCGGCCGTGCACGTCGCGGGCGCGGGCAACATCGTCACCGACGGCTTCACGGCCCACATGAGGCGCCGCTACCCCTGGGTCAGCGCGTCCCCGGGTCTGCGCCAGCTCGTCGCCGCGGAGCACGGCGGCCGGCCGGTCGTGCTCATCACGGAGCTCCATCGCGGGGCGGGCCACGTCACGCCGGGCATGGTGCGTCCCGAGGTCCGCATCGTCATCGACCTCGGCTTCTACCTGTCGCGGGGGGGCGTCGCCGCCGGGGACCTCGACCACGCGGTGCTCGCGATGGACGGCCTCGCCGTCGCCCCGACCCCCGGCGGCGTGTTGCCCATCCTGCCGTGGTTGATGATGGAGAGGACCATCCGAGCGGCGCGGCGTCTGGCGCGGGAGGAGACGGGCCCCGGCTGCGCGTGCCAGTGAGGCCGTACTGCCGCCCGCCGAGGAAAGGGGGGGGTTTGATTCTTCCGATGCCGCGACGTGTGTTGGCCGCTGACCGGGCCGACGCTTCTACCGGGTGGTGCGTGTGAAGTCGTTCTCTGATGCTGGCGTCCATGTCGCCGCCACCTCGGGTGTGCTTGATGTGTGGGCTGTTTGCGGGGCTACAGGGCCTCGCCGTCCAGGGAAGGTACCATAATATATTCTGTTTCATGCTCCCGGCACGTCGTGTCACTTGCTCACCTTTCATCCCGTCGCGCCGCCCCTGTCTTTCCGAGTCCTGAGCCGGAGCCGACGACGGCGGCATGTACGGCCCCTTGTGAAGTGCGGCTTGTCACGAGCAACACATGACTTGGCCACCCGCCAACCTACCCATGTACCTGTCCCGACAGCATGAGGGGAAGGGGAAAAAGCAAAGCACGACGGGCCGCACAATCCTTCGGTCCTCGACGCAGTCGTCGCGTTCCTCCCGCGGTGAGAGTGTTGGCGCGGTGATGGGATCCCCCTGCACAATGACGAGGCCTCCTCGGCCGCGCTGCGAAGCGGCGGTCATGGACCACGGTCCGGTCGATGCCTCCTGCGGCCAGGGACGCCGCTCGGGATGAAGGAGGAAGTGTGTTGGTGTTTTGCACGTGCGGGGAGGTCTCGAGAGCCCGTGGCTTCCCGCCAGTTGCGCGGCACGGAGCGGAACGCGGTTTTTTCCCTCTCGTCCAGGGTCCGGGGTTAAGCTTGTTTTAAACGAGACTGGATGGCGTCTTGCGTCTTGCGTCTCGACCGACTGCCGACTGCCAACTGCCGACTGCCAACTGCCGACTGCCCGGTCCGACTACCGGCTCGCAACGACAGCTGCAGCACGAGCACGAGGCAGAGGGGTTGAAATTTCATATCACGGCGAGCACCGACGAGGCTGCCGCGAGCCATGCCGAATATTACCATACAACAGTGGTGCTTACTTGGCGGGAGACAACTCTATTTCGCTACACAGACTGGATGCGTCATCCATGCACTCCTTCCCGCCAATAAGTACCCTGGCTATTTCGGACGTGGTGTATGCATTGCATGCATGCATGCATGCACGTCCAACGCGCTCGATATACTAGCATACTTCCTACTCAGTATGCATCGACGGCACCTAACCCTGCAGCTCCGCTTTCAACATGCCCCAACTAGCACGTCGTAAAGTTGGAGCTGGTCCCTGGACCAAGGCATATATATATCTGCGTGCCTTGGGGCTCGCGTGAGAGGGAGCCCACACGACATGTCAACGTTACAGGAGCGTCACATACACCCCGCGCAGCCCGCTGCTCGAGTCGCCTCGCGTCCCGTCCTGGGCCCCGGGAAGGAATCGAGCGCGTGTCCACACATCATACGAGTGCGCTGCCGCTCGCTCCAATGTGCGACCAAGACGTCTGAATCCGGTATCAAGTCCGTTGTGTTATAGTAAGGAGTTCGCTGCTTGTCCATTGCAGCTGTCTATTTCCGGAAACTCCCCAGACCCGATGGAGACGGTCGTGTTAGCAGTCGCCGCAATCTGGGTCGCCTTGCCAACCCGGGGAGTCGGGGACCCAGGAGCAGTACAACTCGTATATACCGGCCACTCGCTCACTCATCGCAGAGACGGATGGACATGTGGACCATCGGCCCCTTGACACGCTGCAATAAGCCCAACATGGGAAGTTTTACCACAGCTATTCTGGACACGGGAATCGACTCTGGTGGGTGCTGGGTTGCCGTCCTTGAAAATACCACGGCGAATGCGCCGGGACTCCCGTCGGCCCTGTCTCTGAGGGCCACTTGTCTTGCCCATAAGACTCTGCACTGCCTGCGCCTCAAGGTCCAAGGCATGGTCAAGACTCGGGCTATATCCTCCTTGTCCTTGTTTGCCTTTGCTCCACAGATATAACTGAAAGCTCGCTCTCGAACTTAGTCTGCATCTGCAGTCCGCAGCAACCGAGAAACACCAAAGATGAAAGCCGCACTCGTTCACTTGATCGCTCTGGCCGGACTGGGCACTGCCAGGTCCGTCGTTTTAGATGGCGCGTCTGCGCTCAACAGCCCTCGCCTTGATGAGAAGGCACTGTCGGCAGGCACGCAAGTTGTTGGCGCAACCACGAATAGCACCAGGGTCCAAAGACATCTAGCATCACGAGGCGGCCTCGACGGGTGTAAAAAGAGGGCTGGGGGACTTACTCAAACCCCAAAGACGACCTCGCAAGACCGACACGAGGTCAGCTCAGAGAGGCTTGCGCCTCAGTTGCAGCCCAACGTAAGTGCCTGCTCCTCGAACCACGATGCCCAACCTCAGCCGCGCAAGGCGTCAAGAGTCCAAAACGTAGACTGACAGGACGTAATAGTCGGCCCCATGGCGAGAACACGAGGGCGGGAGCGAAACCGCATCTCTCGGGAAACGGACAAACAAGGAGACCAGACAGGACAAGACTCTTCCAGAGCTGGCCAAAGCGGCGTTGCTGAAGCTCCAAAACCTCTCCGGAGACAGATCAACGCGAACTCTGGTAACCGCTGATATTCTGCTCCCCTTTGCGCGATCGGCGCTCGAACAGCTGAAGAAATGGAACAACGTAATTGGACAAAGCGTCAAGGCGTTTGACGACGCCGTGGCTGATCTGCAACAGGCCATCGGGGGCAAGCCAGTACCCGAGATCTTCGGCAACGAGCTCAAGCTAAGGATGATTTGCTTTCTGCGAGACGACCCCATGGGGGCCAACGGCATCGACATCGCGTGCCAGCGACTCCGGGGACAAGACGAGCAGAGTTCAGCCGAGGAAGAAAACACGCTGCGAAACGCGCTCAGCCAGGTCTTCGAGGACTGCGCCAAGGCCTCCCAGGAGACTTCGCCGGCCGCCGCGGACAACCAGGACATCCATCCGCGTCAGAAATGCGACGAGCTCAGCAGGAAGACGCTGGAGCTCGGGGAGGCCACGGAAGCGCTGATTGAGCTGCGGAAAGAGGTCCGACAGCGCCTGAAGGATGGCGGCCAGGTCGAGCGCAGGGACGTCGACAGGGCGGCTAGGCTGATCCGCAAGGGCGGCTTCGGCACGCTCAACAGGAAAGTCGCCAACTGGGACACCAAGATGGCTGCGTGGTATCTCGACGATGTCGTTGCCTCGGCCGAGTCGAAAACTAAGAAGTACAGCCCTCGGGTCCTGCCGGAGTGGGCGACCAAGACACGCGTCGCGGCGAGCGAGATCCCGCAAAGCCACGTGGCCGAGTTCAGGGCGTTGCGGATCATATATGAAGGGCCGTACCGCGGCATGTTCGAGAGCACCGAGCCAGTCCGGGACTGGGATGTGTGCTGGTCGGCCGCGGGCCTCGAGGAGTCCCAGCCTCATCAGTGGGATACGTTGTCTGCCGCGCTGACCTACCTCGACAGCAGTCTTCGGGTGTTTGACTTTGCCTGCAAGGTATGCGAGTGTACATGGACTCAGGAGTTCAAGCTTCGCTGCGGCTTGACTGAGACTGAAGACGGCTATTATATTAGCAAGAAGCGCAGCTTGCTTGGTGGTGCTTTTTAATCTTGGCGTGGCGGGTGAGGCTTGTATGTAGATGGCTGCTGCTGTCATGAGTACTTGATGTTTTCCTTTTCCATTTCTTTCCGCTTTTTCTCTTCCTTTCTTCTCAACGCTGCCCTTGAGAGAAATCATGTAGCTTCCTTGCTCGTTCGCTTTGAACACGGTCTTGTGACTCGTGTCATGAGGCTTTTTCCAACGGCACTGTCCTATTTAGTTGCTCTCAATGCTTATTCTCTTTGGTCTTGTTATTTGTATGTGGAATCTGCCGCCGGCTCACGGGTATTTGTTTCGCCCGGAGAGCAACTCTGTGAGGCTATTTGCCGTAGAGGATCTGACCACTTTGACCATTGTACACTTGAATGTTGTGGGCATAGCTCCACCGCTCAATCTTTGATGAACCGGATGTGCTTGACGCCCGATGCGTGACATCATAGTGAGACAATCAGTTGCGTCCTGGAATGGCTCGGCTCTTCAAGAAGAGACATACTACTACTGTAATTTCCTGCCCAACATGCTCTCTATGAAGACGATTTCCTAATGGCACGTGACTCGCCACTCGCCGCTCCCATGCATTCGTGAGTTGACAACGAAGTCCACGGGCATAACAAGGATTGGCCTGGTCGAACCTGTCTTATCTGAACGTCTGCTGAAGAGCACGTACTAGTTTCTCCTCATTTGGACCGCGCTCTGGCATGATTGTCGTGCCATTTCATGCTTGCCCGCATAAATCGCACGAGTAAGTTAGCAACATCGTGTATGTCCTGAGCACTCACTCGGCAAGCTCAACAATTAGATGGAAGCTCCTGTAGTTAGTCTCGGAGGGTTTGTCTATGAATACAAGCCATACAGGCTGCGATATGCCAAATACCTCAGCAGCAGCCCCAAATCAAGCATACCTTCTCATTTTGATATTGCCTCAAAAGGTATTCGATTTGACTCACCAAGGCTCTGGCTTAAATGAAGCCTACCCAGCTTGTGGTCGCGACCTTTGCCGGCCTGGCCAAGGCCCAGCTGGACCTTGCGTTGGCAAACCAGGTCGGCAAGGCTATGTGTGGTATGTAACCCCGGCTGCCCTTTCGTCAAGGAAATAATTGGCCCTCCCTCCCTCCACTATTATCTTCAGTAGCCAGCCCGATCCGGTCGAACATTGTTATGCTCGGTACACTTCCCGATCCGTGCCAAACGTGGCCGCCACGATTCCTACTCCTCGTTTACGACGACTGGAGTGACGTAGCTGTTGTCAAGGCTTGGCCCCCGAGGTGACATGGTATCCACGAGCATTGGAAGGAAGAAGAAACGCAAACAATCAGCCCCTGAAGTTGGTCATCATCACGTCCGACAGGCCATGTCGCATGGCACATGGGCCCATGGGTGTCCGTTCGCTCGTGTGACCCCGTTATGACACCACCACCACCACCGGCAGCGACGGCCCGGACATGAAGATGGCGCAGATCCGGTCGTGGCTGGGCCCTTGAAACCCTCGACCTGACATGGACAGCGATGTCGCCCGGTTCGCGTTATCCGTCCCGACCCGTTCCAGCTCTTCAATGAGGATGGGTCAAAGACCACCGACGGACCAACGTCGCTGCTTGGAGCAGGGATGCCTCTTCCTCCTCCTTCTCTTCCTCCTCCCCGCCTTTCGTATTGCGCGTCGCCGAACGCAGCCACGGCCAACAAACGATCAACTTACTTTAGTAAGCTAACAAAAAAAGGGTGAGGCTTTTTTGCTTTCATTTTCCCCGAGCTGAAGCGGAGGCATGGCTGCACCTGGCACAGGCAAACGAAGTCCTCCGCTGTTGTGGTGCGGTGCGGCACGAGGCACACTGTTTTCGGCGACCGCGGTCAGGAAAAGCAGAAGAGTGCCCTTTTTTTTTTCCATATCATGTATAGATGACGGCCCCGGGGACGAACGGCCAAGATAGTGGTCCAGCCCGCGATGAGAGCAGCATGAGAATTTGGAGTACGAGAGACGGAAACTAGAAAGGCATGGCGGGTGGGGGGAGACGCAATGCGGGTCGTCGGACTGGGCCCATTTTTCCAGGGGAACACGGGGCATTTCTGGAGGAGCAAGGAGGAACCACCCACCAGTCGGCATGGCAAGGGGCGACAGTACCTGTAATGTACTCTCCTGCGGAACAAAAGAAGTCTGGACGTCTGGTGCAAGCCACATGCTGGAACGTGCCCATAAAGGAACCCCCGTACACCAAAGTGCGGCAACAAGGACAGCTAGAGCAAGTGCTTGAGCGGCCATACTACGGAGTACGGAGTACCTACCTCTTATTTAAGTACGTACTGAGTGCCCAGATACCTGCCAGGTACTTGCGACGAGTTGAGCAACGGCCCCCGGCAGCTGACCCATTAGCTGATCAGTCGGCCTATCAGCTCACCCTTCAGTCTCCCTGTTCTCGTCGATTTGTCAATTGAATGCAGGTCCAGATCTCGCACCACCACAGGAATTTCCATCACCAACCGTATCTTCATCGCTTCCTCGCTGTGCCTCTCGCTCTTTTCTCCCGCGCCTCCCCCCCCTTTCCTCCTGTCGACAATCCCCAATATCAGACACGCCCGCGTACGGCGGCTCTCCCCTCCGTCACCCAGCAAAGGGGCTCCTTTTGTTTCCCTGACGTCGCCGCGCGCCACTCCTTTTGTTTTTGCCTATTCCCGCTCGACAAAAAAACACCATCCTTGTTCCCACGACGAGTGCGCTCCTTTTATACCTCGTCCTCAAACTCGTCTTTGCACCGAGCACATCCACCTAGTCTCCGCGGGGACTGACGGCTGCACGCTGGATCCGAACCGTTTGAAGCCGTTTCAATTCATGGTACGCGCTCGCGACACGTCGGCGGCAAAAGTGGCCAGAAACTCAGCACGGCCAACTCGATTTCTTTACTTCACCCTTCACCAGAGGTCTTCTCAACCAAGCCATCTCCTTCTCTCGTCAGGTCTGGATGGAATTTCCCATTTGTGGCGATTCGAATTTCCCACGTTGCTCTCGAAGTCGACACCTGCCCGGCGCTAGGAAAATTCCGAGTCTAAACTCCTCCCACCCACCTGAGACCACTGCTTGCCATTATCGTGGCTGCAATCTGGCTTGAGTGGCAACGTTTTGGCGCCGTCTAAGCCCCCTCACCCCCAATTCATCCATCCGCGACTCCCATATGATTAAGCATCACGCCCGTTACTTTATTTTTGGAATCGAGCACATTGTCGACTGTGTCGTCGCTCTAGTCATCAAGCCTCTGACGGCTTGTGTGCGTGGCTGGCCCGACGCAACCACCTAGGCTCTATTGCCGCCTTCCCCGACGGCCATTGACTCGAGCCTTTGTGCCACATTGGGGACACCTGCTGCTTCGCCGCATGGCGCACGCCCTCAGGATTTAAAGCCAGTCCCTACCCGACTGCCACGGCGCTGAAACTTGCCAACTTGCTCCTTGCTTACCCGTTCTCGCCTCATATATTGGGAGACGGCCACAAGAGATTTTCGACATGCCGTCGGTGGACGTCGCAATGGCGAGATCATTGCGTCCTGCGGCCTGGCAATTGATTAGGGATGCCGTCGCTCGATCAGTCGCTGAAAGCTTGACCAAGAGGGATGTGATGACAGATGCCCAGAACAAAGTCACCGATGTCAAGACTGCTTTCTCAAGTTGGGACAATTGTATGAAGGCTTCATTTTGCAAGTACGATTCACCTTGACCATAGCCGCTGTCCCTCGTCTGGCCCGCTGTCTCTTCTCCTTCGCTTCCTGCTAACAAATTCTTAGATGGCCTGTTATTGCCGTCATCATCGTCGGTAGCCTCATCATCGTGTCTGTTATCTGGTGCATTATTCGATGCTGCTGCTGTGGTTTATCATGCTGCTGTAGTTGCTTCGAGTGTTTGAAATGTTGCGGCAACTGCTGCGGCTGCTGCGACCCGCCTGGCGGCCGCCAGCACAAGTATCTCGACGAGCCGTACATCCCGCCCTATCATGGCCAGAGCCAAGGCTATCGGAACCAAGCTCCCATGCAGGCACACTTTTCCCCGCCAGCAGCGACGAAGTTCGAACCACAGTATGCCGAATTTGACGTCTCCAAAAAGACAAACGGGGACGACCTGCCCCCGATGCCCAGCTGGGAGCGCTCTGGGTCTAAAAAAGTCTTGATGGAACAAGAAGAGGTGGAAATGTCCAACCTTGCAAGAACACCAGTCTCGCCCTTGAACCGCACCCGTATCAATTCGCCGTCTCCCGCTCTCGTTAGTCCCATGAGCGTAAACCATGACCGCCCATACGGAGACCTCCCGGGCAGCTCAAGCGGTCACAGTCAACAAGACCTGTTGACAAGTCCGCAGTCTCCCGGGTACGGCCTCCTCCGCCAAGGGTCGTACGGACCTCGAGATCCCGGGTATAATAACAGTTTCAATACCAATCGTCATTCTGCAGGTTTCGGCCTCAACGACCCATACGATGACCATGCTCCCATGTCCGGCGCAAATGGCTACGGACATACTGGTGGACAGTCTCAACCCTACGAAGCTCCTGGGAACCAGCCATATGACAATATTCCCTATGGTGCTGCCGCAGGTGCCGGTGGCTTCGCTAGAGCCACGGCGATGCGCAACCAGTCTAGAGGACCGAACGACCAGCCGTATGGTGCCCTGCCAGTTGTTGGTGGTGCGGCTTTGGGACATGGGGGCCGCCAGTCGCCAGTCCCTGCCCAGGGCAGTTCTCCCTATGGGCTGAATCAAATCCACGAGCAGTTTGCAGAAATGCCGGCCGTACCACTGGACCATGACAGCGTCCACAACTCAGCTGGCGCTCCCCAGAACAGATCACCGCTTACTGATCAAACGGCACCTCGAGAGTTGGCCGGGAGCACGCCCCCTGAGGGCTATGGCATGAGAGGGCCCGGCACTGGAGACAATCATGGCCCCTTGTCAGCAGGCGGTAGATCGCCTTACGGCATGGACTCGCGCATGAGAAGTTCCCCTGCACCTATCCAAACAGCAGGGTCTCTCGGCGGCAACCCTTACGCGCCTAGTCCTCGCGAGGACCAAGGATACGGCCGCGAGCTCCGATCACCTCTCGACAACGAACACAGAAGCTACTCGCCAATCGCTCCCCACCAATTTACGCCAGGTCCCGAACGCCAATACTCGCCCGCCCCCGATCGTCAGCGGACCCCCGGACCGCTTCCTCCCGCAAATCCTGTCCCGCCACCTAGCAACACCTTGAACCAGTCGCCACCTCGCTCGCCCTTTACCAACAACAGCGGATTCGACTTTGACTCTGGATTCTCTCGACCAAGAGAGCAGCAACATCACTCCTCGCCAGCTCAGGAACCCGCCACAGCAGCATATCCCGGGCAAAGGACGTACCAGTCCCGATAAAAAACGATGAAGCCAACTGTATGACCTCACGGAAACGAATTGAGTATTGAATCTGGTGAGGCGTTTTCCGGTTCAATGGGCTTGATTCTCAAGGCCTTTTTTTTTTCCCCAAATACGGGCGACAAATTTTTTTCCAGAGCTACCTGTACAAGATTTTTTTTTTCTTTCCCGCTTGCAGCTTCTCAAGCAATTACGCCTTTTTTCCCCTTGCCAGCTCATGTATAATAGGTGTCATGGAGGGGGCGGAACCAGCCCAGCTGTTTTGCATAGAAGGCCAGAGGGCCTTTTTGAGACGTGGTATTGATTTCGTCGCATTTAAATACAGCGCTCAATGTGGTGTAATGACCGAACAACGACCAAAACGACGAGTGATTGCGGACCTTTGTTTACATAGCCCGCACTTGCATGAAACACGTGTCGACTTGTGCTGTCACGGGAAACAATACAGTATACAACGATGGCGGGAAATACTGTAAAAAGGTAAAACTGGCGCCAGATTCAACATATACTAGAGTACTCCGTACAGGATCCCAAGACAAGCCCCCCGAATGGGTTGTATATAGTTCATCTGTATAATTGCCCGCTGAAATCACAAGTATATCGCAGTGTCCAGATGACACATTCTGCCGAACAAAAAAAGAAGAAGGAAAAACCAGGCACACACTGGCTATTCTATTCCTTGGGATACAGCTCGGTGGACACCTTGGTCCGGGCCAATCTCGCCCTGCTTGAACTGCTTCCGATGACGGTGGGCGCATCCCCATCCACGTCGGGGTTATACTCCTCCTCCGCGGTGCTCTGGAGGCCGTTCCTTGGCCGGAGCGGGCGGCTGCGACTGTCAAATCTGCCGTCACCGTCGCTGTCGTCCGCGTCACTGCCTTCGGCCTGGCTGCGCAGCTGTGTGCCGCTGTATGTGGGGATGCCATGGTCTGGGTCGTCCGAGGGGAGGCGTTGGTGCTCTGGTTCCTTCATCTTGATGAACGAGTCGATGATGTAGTACTGCAGGGCGTTCATGATGAGCGGGAAGATCATCATGACGAAGGCTATCTGGAGCTTTTCGTTGCCTTCGGTCCAGGAGAGCGCCCAGTCGCCGACTTTGGAGATCCACGGCATGAAGATGAAGATGACGAGGACGCAGACTTTCATGCCGAAGAGGCCGCAGAAGTAGATGACGGATTGCTTGAGCCACCACCATGCACTGGGCGGGTTGCCGTAGTTGCCTGACTGGATGGACTCGGCCGGCTTGCCCAAGGGGGTCAAGGCCACGAGGCCGGTGATGATTTTGAGGAGGACAATGAGAATGGGAATGCCCAGTGTTGTCTAGTTGGTATGATTAGCGTTTGTGGTTTGGTTCCGACTGTTTCGGGCAGAGAGGGAGAGAGGGCGGCGGGCAAGTTACTCACGTCAATGCCCAGGTTGAGGAGGTAGAATGAGCAGGGATTAGGCACATAAGGCTCGTCGGCCCGTGCCTGTACGGTGCCCGGCTCCAGCTTTATTGAGAACCGGCCGCTAGTGAGCATAGACATGAATATGTTGGCAATGTGCACCAGGACGGAGCCGAATACTTGCTTGGACACGTCAAAGAACCAAATCTTAAGCGGTCGCTGTGGACGTTCCCTGTACCGCTTATACACCAGCGACAGGAGAGCCAGGGCTCCCAGTGCTGCCTGGACTATCAGGGCAAAAGAGCCTAGGAGCTGGCATTCGCCTTCTGGGCTGTCATGCGGAGAGCCCGACGCGGACGCGGGTGCGGCCGTGGTACTTGACGCGGTCATGGCGGCAATGGTCGAAGAAACAGCCGGCAATATGGTCATGGCAGGCTCAACAGCTGTATGAGTGGGCAGATGGGTGCCCATGCCGGCGGGATTTCTGGAGTATGGTGCAGCCCGGAAGTCCGTGTTGGCTGGTCGGGTTTAAATTTGTCGAAAAATGGAAAATAAGAACGAGAATCGATCGTGACAGGCAATCGGTCGTGATACGACAGACGAGCGAGCAGCCAGGCGTCGTTGCTGGCTGAGTCTGGACAAGCCTGGGTGGTTGACAAGAGTTGTTTTTGTCGTCGCGTCAGTAAGGCGTAGAGAATGATGGACGCAGATGCTGTTAGGACGCCACGCGAGTCAAAGTCACATCTGCATCTCTCTCCTCGACCAGCAGATGAAACAGCGAGCTCCCACACAAGAGGCCAGTCAAGAAGCAGTAGAAGCGTCCACGTCGCGGAGAAAGCCAATGGACAGGGACACACAAAGGGTAAATGATGTCGTAGAGTAGTCGGCAGCCAGACCGGGTGGTGCAGTACAACAAGGAGAATCGTCGTGCGAGTGGTGAGAATGGCGAGAATGGTGGGAAGTCTTGAGGTCACCATTAGCCATTAGCCAGCAGGTGACCAATCCAGACCAGGCGAGAGTACGTTACATGTATGTACTCTGTACCTGGTCGGGGTGACGCTGCTACCCCGTCCTGAACAGGGTAACGCAGCAGCCACGCTTTCCCGTCACGGTTAGTTGGGGTCGGGCGATTCCTCCGGCACCGCCACGCCTCTGGGCCTCAGCCACAGCCAGCGGAGCCGCACGAACAAGGCTTCAAAAAAAGTGCAGAGCTGGGAGCTCGCATGTACTACAAAAACCTCGCGATAAACAAGGGGACCAAGATCAGATCGGACCACCTCGCAACCTCCTGTATCAATCCTCCTCTCCTGCGCGCGCGCACTCCCCCACCTCTCATACACGGCCGTTCGAACCGCCACCACCCACAATGTTTCGATCACGGTTGTTACCGCGCGCAGGGAAAAGCCTCCTCGACCTCGGCCTCCTCCGCACCGCCGCCAACACCCGAAGAAGCTTACATCAAGTCCCGACCCTGCCACACGACTTCTCCCAGGGCGTTCCCAATCTCATGAGCCCGGGCGGCTTCGCAATCGCGTGGTCAGACTACATGACACTAATGGTAGAGAAGCTCAATGCCCTGACAGCCGGTACGTGCCCGCTGCCTCGGGACCGAGAAAGAAAAAGCCGGCCCGTCCCTTCCACGACCCCTCAAACGTTTTTCCCAACGCCAAGCCCACCCGCGTCTACTAACTTGGGCCCAGGCACCGAGCTCGAAGACAAGGACACCAAGACCATCAGCCTTCTGACGGCGCGAGAGCCCAGCCAAGCCCCCATCTTCAACTATGCCTCCATGGCGCACAACAACCACTTCTTCTTCCAGGGCATCTCGCCGACGGGCACGCCCATGCCCGGCACGCTCCGCGCCGAGCTCGAGGCCTGCTTCTCCTCCATCGACACGCTGCGCCGCGAGTTTGTCATCACCGCCTCGGCCATGTTCGGCCCCGGCTTCGTCTGGCTCGTCAAGGCCGGCCTCAACGACTTCCGCCTCCTGCCGACCTACCTCGCGGGCTCGCCCTACCCGGGCGCCCACTGGCGTGCCCAGCCCACTGAAATGAGCACCGTGGGCAGCGACGGCTCCGCCCGCTCCTACTTCAAGAACCAGGTCCTCGGCAGCAGGAAGCGCTCCGGCGACCTGCCCCCGGGCGGCATCGAGCTCGAGCCCCTACTGTGCCTAAACACCTGGGAGCACGCCTGGCTGCTGGACTGGGGCGTCGGGGTCGGCGGCAACGGCGGCAAGACTGCCTACGCAGAGGCCTGGTGGGACCTGATTGACTGGGAGACGGTCGCTCACAAGTCCCGATCTTGCCGACCGGCATACAAGGGGACAGCCTAGTGTAAGAAAGGGAAAATGTCATGGTAGAGAATTGGGGGTGCAGACTGCGAGGAGGGAGGAAGAGGAAGCATCGAGGCCCATCTCTGATACCGCTCCGAATCAAGGGGCATTGCTCTCTCTCTCCCTCTCTTTTTTTTTTTTTTTTTTTGCTGCTACCTACTCTGTCATAGCAGCAGGATAGGGAGGCGTGCTGCAATTACTGTAAGATAGCAAGATAGACTGTACTTGTGTGCATATACGCACGGCGACTGGAAGAACTTTGGACAGAAAATGACTGCGGAGTACATGTAAATCATCTACGTGGGCTTACTGGCCTGAAGCCGTGTGCAAGGTAGCTTCGTCAAGTAAAGTTCTGATCATGTAATGTTCCAGAATCCAAAGGCTTCAAATGAAGCTTACCAAGACATGGGTTGAAAAGTGCCCGCAATAGGGTCCTATTCGGGGTTCCATGTCACTCGACGCATAATGGCAATCAAGAGTTTACAGTTACCCACACACTAGGCTGTGTGCACAGATGCAAGTTGACACGAAGTTTTGGGCTTTAAAAATGCCAGCTAGTTCGGCTAAAAACCGCAGTCAATTGACTGACGCGAATTTGAAATCCAAAATGGTATCCTGCTCATCCAATTCGCGGAAAAAGGAGAGTCACATGTACGTAATAAGAAATGTAGATATGTTGAAACGGCATAACGCATCGATCAGCAGACATGACAAAAAAGGGCATGCTGGAGCATCGTTCGGACCATCCTCCTGCTTTCAAAGATAGATGAGCTTCATTCAATAGCATTACAGAAGTCCAAAGGTTGCGAGGTAGCGTAAAGAGTGGTGTGAGTATTTGGTTCGTGAGGTCAGGTCATTCATTAGTATGCAAACCATGCGCTGCGTCGTTCGATCAATGATGGGACCTGCTGCGGCAGTAATGACACGGAATCGACAGGAGGAATGAAACTGATCTGGTGGACCTAGATCATGTTTCCGTTAACGCTAATCTCGAAACCCTCGCGCTTCTGCTTCATAGCTTTTGCTAGCATCAGCTCGCGCATCCAATCGATGCGATCGTCGCGGCTCTTGACAGCAAAATGGTGCGTCTTCCCTGTTGCATTGACACCCTCAGACGGGATGGCGTTGCCATTGACACCATTGATAGAACTATCTCGCTTTCGCAAACGAGCCCCGGCATTCTTGTCTTGGGGAATAAGCTGAAAGCTGAAAGCCCCAACTGGATCACTCTTTCCACAGTTATGAGAGATACGAACTGCTTTGAAGGCAGCGTTGAGCTTGGAAGTAGATGCGAGGCTAGAGCAGGCAATTGCATAGTCATCAATGTCGATGTACTCGAGGGTCCGGTCCACTTCTCGGGCATCCTTGTGCATGTTGAGTCTGGTTCCTTTGAGGGTGAAGTATCCATCTTGCCACTCACGACGGAGCAGCCGTGTCTTTCGCTTCTTCATCGGGCCTTGATGTGTAATGCCATTGGTAACTGCTGCTGCTTCATGGTCAGCTCCTGGCTGGAGAGTTGACACAGGAGGGATAGCGTCCTCAAATTTGCCACGCGAGGCTGGAGACCAGGGGTAGTTGAAGCGAGGAGGCGCCCGAAGGGGCTGTTGCCGCACGCGGTAGATGGGCGAAGAGCTTTTTGGGGACGGTGTTTTAGATGTCTGGAGTGCCACGCCATATTCATTGACGGAAGGGAGAATTGGGAAGGAAGGGCGCCGGCTGGACGCTCTTGATTGGGATCGAGGGGAAGGCGAGGCCCGATAGTTCATATCCGGAGGTACGGATTGTGACGCGTCGCGAGCTACTGGCCCAACGGGGACTGCTGCGATTGGGACGTCCATTTCGGAAAATGGGGTGCCAAACCTGTACGGACTTCGGGAAGTCCCCAAATCTGGGGATAAGGGTTCCGCCTTGTTCATGCGGTATGGAGCGAACTCCGCTGGCTGTGTCGCTTGTCGTTGCGCTTGCTGCACCATCTGACAAGCAGGCAGTTCTTGTCGCTGAGGCGCAGTGGGCTGAGGGATCGTAGATGTCCTCGAAGGAGCTGCTCGAATTGGTATTCCAGGGATGAAGAGCTTAGGCAGTTGGCGCAAGCCTTGATGAGGCATCTTGGTTGGCGGTAGAATCTCAAATGGTGGCGTCGGCGGCACTTGATTCGAGTCACTCTTTTGCTGAAATTTCAAGAACTGGCGGACGTTATCCTGGGGATCTCGAGCTTGAATGCCTCGCAATGTGGCTTCCTGAAGATATTGCAAAGGAGGCAAGCCGCCAGGACCCATGACATCAGAGGAAGCCACAACAGAAGGAACAGCGTCAGATACAGGCCGAAAATTCTCGTTAGGGTCAATGGCCCTGGCTGTTTCGGGGTTGCCCGCATCTCCGTATATCATCACTGTACCTCCCGCGTAAGCGTCAACGGTTGGGTGGGCTTTCTTGAAGTCTTCGAGAAGTCTTTGCTGCCGCCTCCACTTGGAGCATTTCTCTCCTTTTGAGCAGTGATGAGGCTTTGGGACGACTTGCTCAATACCGATGATAGAGACTGATTCCATTGGATGGACAATATCTTCGTCAGCAGAGAGCTTGCGACGAGCCCGACGTTTGTTGCTCTGGCTCCTACTCGATTCGGTCTCACCCTTGCTTCTAAGTTCCCTACGTGCCTCCCTGCTAGGCGCGTCCTCGATCGGTGTGGCTGGTCGGGGGCAGGAGGGTCTACTATCTCTAAGTGTCTGAATCTGATGCCATACTTTTGTGCGAATTCCGAAAGATTGAATATCAAGCTCCCGCAAGTCCTCAAACTTCAACGTCATCAGAATGGCGCCATTGATGTCATTCTCAATAAAACGATCGGCCACAGACAACTCAATGCCAGCATTGAGCATCGACTGTGCGACCATCTCCGGAGTCCACGACGCAAGGGGCACAGAATTAAGCTCTATATGTGTGTACTGAAGAGGACTGGTCTTTCGTGGTATCGCCGACCTATCCAAAAGGTCGCCAATGCCCCTCTGAGCTTTCGGAGATATTGGCGAGAGGGTCAAAATGAAGTCATCTTCTACCAGGGACAGGTCTGTTGAGCTTCGGAATAGATGAGGACCGCGTGGTCCTTCTACTGGCTTGAGCAAATGCTCGGGGCATGCCTCGCGTCCCCTGCTCGACCGGGGAGTCGGTGCTTCATCATATGATGATACAGTTGTAAAACTCGGTTGCCCAGACTGCATGATGTAGAGGTATATCAGAAGGTGTTTGTTTAAAGCATTCATGTATGAGCTTACCGACTGCAGACTAATGCGTGGGGAATTATCTTCAGCTTCACTAATGACTTCTTCGTCCCAGTCTGTGTCGACAAACTCTGTAGCTACAGATGCCGGCCGTTGCAACTGAGAGTCACTTTGTAAGCGGAAGAATGCATCCCTGGTAGATTTTTGGCGCATCTCTCGGTAGGCCTGTATGTCGCCAGAACGACAGTAGGCGAAATCCTGTGAAGAAATTGTGTTAGTGGCGATTGGGTGAGGATCAGGTTTTCAGGCGAAGGGAGAAACAAACCATGTTGGGTACCGTGTGAAGCCGGGTGCGTAGAAGCAGACGGAGAAAATTTGTGGTTCTGTTTTGGGAAAGAATTGTTCCCAGCAGACATTTGTGGTGAGGCTCACAAAATGGATGTTGTAGAGGCGATGCCGTTGCCGGCTGTGAGTAATTTCTCTACTTTGATGCCCTCAGGGGCTTCACAAGATGGCCAAACTGAAGGAAAGACGGACACACCACGGCGGGTGGCCAGTGTTCATTATTATGTAGTAATGGGGGATGGTTGCATCACCCAGCGATGTTAGGCAAGGCCTTGCCATCTTTCCGGGCCACCAAGACGCCTGTGGAAGCGGTTGCGGGAGGGGAAAGATGGGTGGTCGGCGGACAGGACAGAACAGCCATCCATGGTCCATGGCCTGCAAGACAACATGACCAGGGACTCCTCAACGAGAGGCAGAGGATGCATAACGCAGCTTCCATCACAAGCCCATCACAGCGCAGACCGCAGAGACAGCGGCCATGTACGGAGTACTCCGTGGCAGACGTCTCGCAAGTCCACTGACGAGGACTAGCTTTCTGCAAACCCTGCTAGACAAGATCTGTCGCTTGGCCATATCAACAGACAGGTCGACCTGGGCGCGAAGTCGGCGAGGGCAATTGGACGGCTTAGATGCAAGCTGCCAGAGGCGTTTATGCATGGTGTCGAAAGGCTGCTGTGATAGGCTCGTCAAGGAGGGGTCGTGCCATCTCGTCCAGAAGTGGCAAGGGGGCAGGAGGAGAGACAGAGTCCGTCCGATATTGAGCATGGGGGTGGTGCAGATAGCTGTTGAGAGGGTTGTCGAGAGTTGAGAGTCGTCAAAGACGGCCATCGAGAGTCAAAACAGCGCTAACTGGCTGCCATGAGCAAGTAAGACGAGTTGGTCCGGTTGGGATGTTGGGAGTCCAGCCTGCAAGCCGATGAATGGCACGAACGGCTCATCGCACAACGTCCAGCTGCCGAGCCTATGCCAAACTCAGAGCGTCTTCTCGTGTCTAAGCGCCATGATGTCTGAGCAGGATGCCTTTGGGGCTCCCTGTCACGGTGCGGAGTACTAGTACTACTCCGTACGGAGAAGGTAAGTACGAATGAACGAATGTATTTCGTGGACGGAGCTTGGTGGAGGGCTGCGGAGGTTGGGCATGGATGGGCGAGTTGAGTTGAATCAATCGTGATGGAACGGGTGAGACGACTCAGCCAAGCGAGACAGTACAGCACGGCACTGACTGACGCTTCCATACCCCACCGGTGAACACGTGCCCTCGGCTTTAGCAATACCGGCCTTGTGCCAGCCGTGGTCCGCACTCACCTTCCATGTAATCAAAACTCGCGCGCCCAAGGATCAAGATACTCCTCCGCATTACGGACTGCAAGACTTGATCCAAGACCATGTCACGGCGCCATGTGTGCTCTGTCTCTGTCCCGTACCGTCATGGCCGACCTTCATTTACAAGGCCTCATTTTTGTCTGATAGCCATTGCATCCCTGCCGGCATCGATGCAAGAGCAGGGCTACTGGTGTCCACATGCACATGTCCTCCAGCCCGCTGCTCCGTGGGTGTGTTGACCTTCTTCATCGCCTGATGGTTTCGTCCCACCAGCACTGGGCTCTCTATCGGCCGGCAGCCACGGCGGCAGGCCGTTCCTGCTTCCTGCGCAATTCTGGCCCGCTGCCCGTGCTGGTGGTTTCAATTCCCGATTCCCCGGCCTGCAGCAGGTTCACGACTCGTTACGGAGTAGTAAACATGGCATCCCCGTTTTTCCATGACAGGACACGCGCCGTGGTGAATCAGCCTCATATTCCGTTATACATAAGGCTCGAGGTCGCTGGCCGTGAATTCTTGTTTCTTTTGCGACTTTTTATTTCGTCTTCATAGTGCGACTACGACTACAACGTCGAATCTTTCCCGTCTTGGTTGTCTATCAAAGTGTCACCAACTCGAGTGGGGAGAGTATTGGCATTAGAGAGAAAACCGATGCACCAGACTATATCCACTACCCGTGAGTCACGGCTTTCCTTCACCGACAAAGGAGCACCTGTCGTTCTCAGTACTAGCATTGAAGGGTAACCAATGTGCGATGTGATGTGCTCTATACTCACAGTTGGGACTCTGGGTATCAACAGGAGTTGCTGACTTGATCAGGTCGAAAAGCGTTCTCAAAGTGTCAAATTTGTCGATCGGTCATGATCCGGAATTCCATAGGCCTCGAGAATCAACGAGGTGGCGTTGGCTTGGCTTGGAGTTGTTGAAACTGCCTTGAAGCCGGCGATGCACCAGGTTTTCATCACAAGCCTGTCAACCATCGGCTGCTCCCGCAGCAGTGATGTTCTGCAGCTTCGCATTTGTTTCCGCTCTTTGTGACCCTGAACGATTAACGTTACGGAGTACACGAAGGAGAAAGTGGTGGCCCCTGAATATGGAGCAGTCACGTTTTCAGGCTCTATTTTCTTTTTTGGGATCATGCTCTGTTTGTCGAAGAAGGGGCATCGCGGATACCAACGGTACCTACCCCTCACTTCTCGGCCAATTGTTTAACAGGAGGCGACAAAATGCCTGGTCAGCTCACGAAGGAATTTGACGGCCCTGCCCTTGTCAACACTGTATTCAATGGCGTGGTGGTTCAATGGCTGTAGTATTTGAGACGGAGGTTGTAACGAGCACAAGAGCAATGCCAACAGCTCATGTGGAACTTTCAAAGATTTCCACCGCTTCTTTAGACTTGGCTGCCTAAGACGCAGGTCTCGGCCGATGGCATCTTACCACGAGACCTTTTGTGGCAACAAATGGTCAGGTGCACGGAAACCAAGGAATCTCTGTCGTGCATCTTCTCCTCTGGTCAATTTAGAAGGTGGTTAGTGTCAGCGGCACCATAGGCTGGTATTCGTGGAGCTTGAAAAGATGGCAGGCGAATAAGAAGAAGGAAACCAGGGCCAGCCTGCGATGGCATGTCGGACACGGGGGATGAGGCCAGCTTCTCAGCCACGCAGACTTTTTGTGATAGCTCCAGCCTCCAACGGGATACCATTCGCGTTACCAATATGCTCGCAAGTTGCCGGGCCACACACTCCATTGGGATCCTGAATCGACTTGGAAAAGTTCAATGGAGCCGTAATCGGAAATGCGACGTAACACCAAATGGTTCAGTCGTCTGTATCCTCGAACGCTCATTCCGCCGCTGGCATTCGTGGAAATACGATCCTTCAGAAAGGGGATTTGAAGGTTAAGGGATTTACGGAAGCAGTATTGTTGATGCCCTACCATATTGCACACGTTGCCAAGAACGGGCTAACTGGGGGTGGAAGTGGTGTATAGACGATCAGGGAGCTGGGCTAGACCCTGCTTCAACGCACAGTGTGCGATGGCTCAACACTCCTGATCCTAGCAGATTGGATTGAGATACTGGTATGGAGTGGTGGCAAACGGGATGTCTCATCCCCGGACTACTGCTGATGAGCCGGGCGATCAAAGCGGAAATCGCAGCGCAGGTCGCGGCGTCTGACTTTGGCCGTTATGAAAACGCCGGCCACCTCGCATTAATAGCTCGTTGCGGTCAGAATGAAAAGAATACTCCAGCGGTACCCGGAAACTGCACCAAGGAGTAAATCATGGTTCTCGAAATCAACAAAGCCATGTCGAGTATAAAGTTCGATTGAACGAACTCGGTATGGATGGTCAATGAACTCACCATCGTCGGACTGCTTACTCATGACTGGAATTTATTAATTGCAGCGCAGTTCTCGGAGCTCCATGTTCCGGTCCAGGTCCACGAACTGACAGTATCATTTGGCTAGGTTTTTCGAAGTTAAATATCGCAGGGTGGCGCTGGTGCCTCAGGCTAATGCTCCTTTCCGTGCCATGACATGGTAGCAGAAGTTCGTTCAGTCAACACCGTCTCCAGTACTCGGTGCGGCGTCAACGATTGTGCGATACAGTGATACCGGCGGACACGGCGAATGAAGTGGAAACACAGAGCTCCATCGGTACCGTTTCTATACTGCAACGTATGCTTTGGACTCTTAAACAAGGGGCGGCTTTAGTCGCGGCCGAGAATCAACTGATAGTGCCGTATCACAAACATGGCGCATCGCTGCTGTGGCCCTTCCACATCGTCATGATCCAGGAGGCAGGCTGCGCCCAAGCCAAGTCCAAGCTGACCAGACAAAAAGCCAAGTTACTCAGGATGGATCAATTGCTGAGTGAAGGTTGAACCGCACTCTGCGCCAATGGAGGAACCCGTGATTATTTGCAATGTCGCAGATGGCGGGCCAACTCCCAGCTTGGGGACAACGAAACAGTATATCATGGATGCACTTATCAATGGCCGTAACCGAGCCCGCCCAACGATTCAGACCGGAAAGAAGAAGAAAAAGATCGAGGCACTTTGTGAGCCTTGGGTCTAGGGTTAGGAGTCTAGGATTGTCGAACGGTCGAGTATTTGCATGATGTATTTATGATGCGGCTCTGTCGGCTCTGTGCTGAAGCCGTGATGGTTCGCTGTGGACATGAAGGCCGTCAGAACCTGGCCGGCTTTTCGCATCCCGCATTGCTAATCGCAACGTCCAGGGCGTTACGTTAGTCCATCCACGTTCAAGCTTGCACAACCGGCTTGGTTTCCCGACGCTCCACCACGGCAAACGCTCTTCTTCGCCGTGAGTGGAGATGCGGGCGATGCACTGATACCTTTTGCCTAACCGGTCCCTAGGGCTGGCTTTTGCATGAACCTCAACACGTACGACAGTTGTTGTGGCGGTGTGTCCTTGACGACGCCGAGGCCGTATGTCCACGGCCAACTGCATCGGCGGTACCTGCGAGATGGCATCACACGTTCGGCGGAACATGATGTAATCCCAAGACAAGACGGGCGGGCCAAAAGAGTGGGAAAGCAATAATGGCCCGACGAGCACATGGAATTATCGGCGCCTTATTAGGCTGTTACCATGGTTGAGCAATCCGTCTGATATTGCCTACTACTATTGGTTACATCTCGCTCTCTCAGCTCCAGTTAGGTCGATCTAACGCGAGCACACTGTGCGCCTCAATCAGTCGCCGTACTACTTGCAAAGTTGTGGCCAGGCGAATAGCTGCTTCATGTACCCTGTATTCCGTTTTGTCTTATTCTGCAGTCCACTGCTATTCCGTTGCGAGCATCGGACACGTTGTGATACTGACACGGGGGAGGGCTACTTCACAGCCAACCTGTGATGACGTGAGTTCTGGTGAATGTCCACGGTGGGAGGTATGCCACGGATGGACATGAACCTGGCAAGTGTCGATTTGGCCATTCGACCCAGCTTGCGACAGGCAAATATTTCCCACCATGTCTGATGCGGCGAGGCAGTGTTGAGCGCCAGTGGCAACTTCAACTTCGCGTGGGTGGAAGACCGGGAGCACTGGCCATTTATTCATATCTCTCCTCCGGAGGAGTACTCCGTACCTTCATTGTCAATGGCCGTTGTCAGCCGTGTAACACCCATCGCCGAGGGCCGGCGCCACCTGCGTTTGCGGTTTTCGCAGAGGCCCCCATGGCAAGCGTGCCAGTAAGACATGAGGGTTCACTTGAGCTATATTAAAAATAGATTGGCCAGTGCAAGAATCGTCAGCATCGCGGTTGAGAAGACGTACAGAGCAGGGCCGCTAACATCAAATGAATGCGCAACATGCCGTAAGCGCCCGGCAATGAGATGAGACAGATGACACGACAAGGACCCGAAACTAGGCTGGAGGAGTCAACTAGGACATGACATGAGTTGGCATAACATCAGAAAGAAGCGGGAGTACGAGCATGGCATGCGGGTCGTGCACGCAAGCGCTCGACATCAACCCGGCGCCCGGATCGGCTGTTCGATAAGCGCCAAGGCGTCAAAGTCGACACCTTGCACGGGCACGAGGCGAAAAAGAAATGACGACATGAATCTGCTTGGGTTGACGGAGGGCAGAGAGGGTGGTGAAAAACAGGTCACCTGGTTGAGTTGAGTGGTGGTCGGCGGTCGCTGTGTCTGGATTCTGGATTCTGGACTCTGGACTCTGGACTCCGGAATCCAGGTGCACGTGGGTCGGTCCCGCCGCCCGCCTGCGGACTGGCTCCCTTCCTCCTTCCTCCCTCTCTTCCTTCCCTCTTCTTCTCCGCCAATCCTCTCGGGGCACGACAACTGCAAGTCACTACGGAGCAGCCACGCACGACACGATGCGGCAACGAGATTCCGAGGGCCGCGACGGGAACCTTGGATGGCATGGCCGACTCCGCACGGTAAGAATACAACACAATCATAATCCGTGCTCCGTAAAGACGGACGGAGTAGATGGCACGGACGCCTGGCTGCTGTGAGTCTTGTCCAAATGCGACGCGGGGGTGCATCTCCAGCAAGCCTCGACACCGGCGCCATCGATTGGCCCAGACGTGCTCCCAACCCTTGTTGGCGGGCAGCGCTATTGTCGGTTGGTCCCGCGGCCCCTGCCGCTTCTGCTCCAGCCAACCTCAACCTGTCTGTTCATCACATGCATTTGTCCAATCACGCACCAGAGACGCCATGACACCGAAAGCTACCATGCCGCCACGGATGCGACTTCTGTACAGCACAGCACAGCACAGCACAGCAGAGAGCTGGCGAGGCGAGCAATAACGTTCCAAATGTGGCTACGCTCGTGGCATGCTGCTTGCACGTTGCTCCGTGTGTCCCCCGTACAAACGAGGAGCGCTTGCTCGTTGTTACGCAGCATGCTTGTGAGCTCTCTGGTTGCTTCAAAGTTGGCTGTCGAACTGAAAAATGTGTGGCCGACCATCCAAATCCATGATACAATGCAAATATTTGTATTTGTTGCGCATCTGCATCCAGCTCAACACACGGCGTACTCCGTACCGAGAAGCCTAAGCCCTCTTGTGCTCCAAGGTCCCATCCCATGCATAGATGATAGCACAAGGGATTGACGAGGACCTTCATCGTGAAGGGAAGCGGGCTTACGGAGTACCTCTTGTCTTGCCATTACACATGATGGCGTCTCTGCTCGACAAGTGCCCGAGACATGGCTCTCCGCTCTCGGATATCTGCACCATGGCAACAGACCGTGGTTTGAATATCCACTAGCCCGTCTCACACCGCCGACAATCTCTCCATTGTCTCTTGTCATTCGCACCGTCGACGACGACTGCGAATGGTAAGGACTTGCAATTCTTTCATTTTGCGGAACGGCATATAGTCAGGTCTCTGGCGTAAGCGGATTCACCCAGAGTCGTCACGGGAGACATCAGGTCATAGGCTCCTGGGAACGAATTGGTCGCTCATACGCGGGGAGGGGGGCCATGTCGGGTGACCCTGGTCTGGAGGCCGAGACATTTCCATCGAAAAGCAGCATTGCCTCGCCGCTTGGTGCAGCCTGGACTTTGGGCAGAGATCAACCAGCATGCCACGGAGTACCTCGAATATCCGAATAAGTCAAGATGCATCTCTGTACTCAACCGGCCGGAGACTGGAGTGATGGTCTAGATGGAAGAGAGGTGCGTGGGCCGACATGGAGCTTTTGCGTATGTCCATTGGGATGACAGTTGACTAAGTAACTACTACTTATTTCTCTGTACATCCCAAAGCCCTGCAACTGCAGCTCACTACAGCAGGCAGCCACGACAATGGTCGCCAGTTCGGGTGAGCAAAGGTGTGTACGCGACTTGGCCAGCCACGAAATACGGAGTATACCTGAGGGAAGGCTGCATTATCGGCGGCCCCAAAAGTAGGCGTGTTGGACAGACAGCCCGAGGGACTTGGGGGTTTGCAACATGACTCTGGCCTGCTGGCAATGATTCCATTCGACCGCATCGGCGAGGCATCGCAATCGACCACGGCCTTGAAATGAGAACACATGACTGCCGGACCCGACTTGCGTGCGATAAATGAACTTGAGCAAAGACCACGGCCAAGAAGGCCTGACCTCGGGGCAAATCGACCAGCCGATGGCCCCTCATTCATGGTCCAGTCGGCTCCGAGGTTGAACGACTTATCGTTTCCAAAGGGCTCGACACCAAATACTGGCACCCGCAGACACGGGCCTCTGTCTCCGCCAGCCATTCATCTACATCGGGCCTGCGGCTGGCCAGCGGGACCAGAAGCCTCATGCATGTACATGTACGGAGGAGGTGCAGAGAGCATGGTGGGTGGCATTTCGCAACCAACAAGCTGCGCGACTTTCCTATTTAGATGCGATCCCCGGTCTGCAGAGCGTAAAGGCTGGCGAACACGGCAATCCTGGGCGAGGTCTCGAAAACGAGCCCCGGCCATTGGTTTCTCTAAGCGCAGAGCAGACACTCTCACTTCTTTTTTTTTTTAAAAGAAAAAAAAAACCATGTACTCCGTACACACACCGCAATGACGGCCTAGCTGGTGCGTGGTTCAAAAATAGAAACAAAAATTCCAGCGCACAACCTGTGAACATGATTGCGCCAACTAACCGTCAACTTGGCCAACATGTCGTCCCAGTCTGCCAGGCCGTGAGAATGGCGGCCATGATATAAGCCTTTGGCCGTCCCTTCGACTGCCCATTAATTTGCCCTTTTTCTTCCTTTCCTTGTGTAGACGACGAGAAGTTCCAAGTGTTGCCAAAAAGGCCTTTTCTTTCATTTAACCCTCTTTTCTCTTTTGCCCCTGGTCGGGTCCTCGCTCCCCTCACTGCATGAGATAAATAATACCAGACACTACCAAAGATTATATTGTTTCCGCTTGCCCTCAAACGCCGCCTTTTTCTAGCCAAGAGCAAGCCGGACTTGCTCGACACCAGTCATTCACTACACGGACAGGCGAGGACAACTTGATTCCGCAGCACGCGCAACCGCGCTGAAGAAGAAAAACAACAATCCCCCTCCCTAGGAAGGTGTGCAGACACACACTGTCGTTTGATACGACAAGTCAACTGCAACGTGTTGACCACTCAGGAACTGATAACAGCTTCCCGGTCAGCCAACACATAATTAATTAATTTTTGAGACCAGCCTTGGTCAGCCACCATCGACCGGAAACCGAGCAAGAAGCCTGGCGGAAAGCTCGCTCCACGCTCGACTATCGGATCGACCTTGGGAACCTTTGGATTTGAGAGGGGAAAACCCTGGACTTTGGGCCGGAACAGACTGGACACTTTGGATGCTGCCTTGTCCATCCAGCCTCTAGAGTCTGGAGTCACACTTCGCGCGCTGGCTCTGGCTCCTCCAAGCCACAGTGCCCTTAATCTATCAACACTGTGCCCTACCACCCCTCCCCGCAGGGTAGCCGTCTCCGGAACTCACTCGCGGCACACCGTCGACGTCTCCAACCACACCCCCCACGCCCTTGCCATGGTTTGCCCTGTTCGGGAGCACTCGCACATAGCATCGAGCACATACAGGACCGTACAAATGCCATCCTCGCCCCCCGACTATCGCAACTGCTCCAAGGAAGCATTCGACGCAGTTGCAGATATGACAGTTGCGCAAAGCACGAAGGCCAAGTCTGCCTCAAAAGCTGGCAATGGAAACACAAAAACAAAGTCAAAGACGCAGATGCACCGCAGGTCAAGGACAGGTAGGCAACGTCGACTTACACGCGCCCTGCCTGCCTACTTTTACCCACTTCCTTCCCTCACTTACACGATACCGACAGCGAAAAGAGGAAGTCGCGACTCCCTCTTCTTGCCTTTTGGTTGTCTGTTTCTCGCCTATATTCTTTCAGCTCTTCTGTCTTTCCTTTCTCCCTTGATGATTTCTTTCTTCCTCGTTGAGCGATTTCTCACGCACCTTGAATCACGTTTCGGGCTCAATTCAATGTTTGCAAGCTAACATTCGTCAGGCTGCTATACTTGCCGATTAAGACGGAAGAAGTGTGATGAAGGCACACCAATGTGCACTGCCTGCAAACACCTAGGACTACAGTGCGAATACAGGCGACCAATCTGGTGGAGCAACAATGATGCTCGCAGAAAACAAAAGGAAGACATCAAGCGCATCATCAAGCGCAAGAAGTTGGCAGAAAAGACGTCCAGCTCTGTCCAGACTTCTGTCAGCCCGCCCCCAGGATTGTCGCATTCGGCGGCTACATCGACAACTTACTCGGATCCCATGGATCGCACCAGGTCTGCTTCCATCGACTCGCAGTTCTCTGGTGGCTTCAACTTCAACAGCCCGCCAAACGAAACAGGGTGCACTGTTTACAATACCCAGTTACACCCTGACTACGTTCTCAGCGGCTACTTGCCATATGAAGTTGACGTAAAGACGGAGCGACAAATGTTCGTCAACGACGTTCCCACGCTCAGGGAGTCCCACGTGGCCACGTTTAGCACTTATGAAACCCCCCCTCCTCCCGGCACTGTTCTGCCGTCTGGCCGATTCGAGATCGGATGGACTGACCACGTTCGACAAGAGCGAAGAGAGTCGATGGCGGAGGAGGCACTCAATGTCAACTTCTTTGACTTTGCGCATGGCTCACATAACGGATCAAGGCAATTTAGAATTGAACTTGAGGAAAGCGACCAACTTTTGTTGGACCACTTCATCCAATATGTCCTGCCCATCATCTTCCCCATCCTCGAGTCAAACCAACACGGCTCTGTCGGTTCCGACTTGATTCTTCCTGCCCTGCAGTCCAACGGCGTCTTTCTCAACTGCTGTCTTAGCATTGCGGCTCAGCACCTCAAGACCCACGCCGCGGTGCCTGGCAAGGACATTGACGAGGATATCATGAGGCACCGTTATGCCACCATCTTCTCGCTCTGCGAGTCGCTGAAGCGCGATGAGAACCACCAACAGATCCTGGAAGCTACTTTGGGCCTCATCTTTTTCCAGTGCGTCGTTGGTCGCTTTGATGATGATGGCCTTTTGGATATCGCCTGGCATCAGCACTTCCAGGCTGCCATTAGCCTTGTCCAGAAGCTCGACCTTCCCCGTCTCGTGTCCGAACCTGCTGGTCAGATTGGGCCGACTCCCTTCAATATGACCTTGACAAGCTGGATTGACATTCTCGGCGCCACCATGCAGGGCGCTTCGCCCACGTTTGCCCATACGTACCGGGAAAAGCACTTGTCTCCTGTCAACTCCCAGCTTGGGCTCCGCGAGCTCATGGGCTGCGAGGATCGAGTCATGTATCTCATCTCCGAGATTGCCTGCCTCGACTCTCTCAAAAAGGAAGGCATGGACGACTACACTCTCTGCCAACATGTGTCTGCTTTGGGAGAGCAGCTCACTCTCACCGAGGTCGGCGACACCGGTCCCAGGATGCCCTACAATGCCAGTGGCACATTGTCACCCAAGCAGCTCTGCAAGAACATTACTTCGGCTTTCCGCATTGCCGCTCGCATTTATCTCTGCAGCTTGATCCCTGGCTTCAGCCCAAGCCAGCCTTCTCCTCGGGCTTTGATTGAGAAGTTGACCAACATACTCCAGTTCATCCCCTCTGGATCGCATGGCTACGACCGCAGCCTTGTCTGGGTTTATCTCGTTGCTGGGTCCGTTAGCTTGCCCGGAAGCAGCATCCGGCCTTTCTTCGAAGACCGTGTTGCTCAGCTTGGCCACGACGCCACGTGCGGTGCCTTCGGCCGGATGGTGACGGTCGTCCAGGAGGTATGGATCCAAGCCGGGAGCCTGGCTCAGGCTGCCAGCCCTGGGTCTTGCTCGTCTGAAGTCATGCAGCCGTACGTCAACTGGCGTCACGTCATGCAAGCAAAGGGCTGGGACTTTTTGTTGATTTAGCAGTGTCTGTCCAGACATGTGCCACACAATTCAGCCCTTTCTTAAAGTAGCTGGTCTTCTTCTGAGAAGGGTTGTCAAAAGGCTTTCATGTCCAGGCCAGACTCGGAGCGGAATTTTACCTCTGTCCACTGGCCTTTTTGCCAACTCTTCTATTTTCTTTTTCTCTCTTCGCGTTTGCCCTTTTGGAGTCAGAAGGGGTTGCGTGGACTCGAAAGGCGGCGTCCATTTACCGGATGTTGACTCTTTTTTCGCCTGCATGTCTGAGGCTGGTGCATTGATTGCCACGAAGGCCTTTTTTCCATGATAATTTTGGGTTGATTTTAGTTCACCATTGTTGGCTTCGCAGCCGCCTTGCTTTTTACGATATACCCTACTGGCATGGGACTTCATATAGAGGACGCCGCGAGGCTCACTGGGGGTCAACACCATTCCTTGTTTTTTTTCACAGAGAGAAGCAACAGAGAAGCCTTCTTCAACATTTTCAACACTTGGAACAACTTGTAGGTTGGGGGGTGGAGAGAGAGAAGAGAGAGTTGATGAATGACGATTGGTTATGATCTCGGATCATGGAGACACGAATGATGCTTTTCTTTATGTATCTTTTGGGCATTGACTCTGGCGGTTGATGGGAGGTTTCGGGGCACTTTTTCTGGGTTCCAGAGGGAAACGATTCTGGCAGCATCACTCGTTAGTCATGTACAGGGCCGGCCTGGGCAGCAGTGACGGTAATCACTGGAAATAGGGGCAAGGCGGCACTGCAAACAGCCCGTCGAAAAGCCTCTGAAAGAGTAGGGAGACTACCCGGCACATAGCAGATGAATACAAAGCGCACAAATATCAGCTCACCATGATGATGCCCTGGGAACGGTGAATTTGGACGGAGGCAGCTGGCGACTGCGCGGGGAGAGAAAAGCGCCCGGCACATGCCTGGTTTCGCAGTTTTGAACGGAAACCAAGACCAACTTGTATGTGCTTCCGCTTCCTCTGTCTCTGCCTCTGTTCACTCGACCTGTTTGTTCTGCCATGGGCACCGCCCATTGTCTGCGCCGCAGAGGCCGGGACTTTTATTCAGTTTCGTTGTTCTGCCGACCGGCCGGCCGACCTGGCTTTGCGACGGGGGACAAAGCGCCGAAACAGGCCCTCCAGCACAGGACCGAGAGCCCTTTTAGCAGGCCTTTGCTTAACTGGGCATTTGGGAATTTTTCTTTCCTTTTGTCCTCGACCAGAAGCTAAAAGGGAGGGCTGCCCCCGTCGTGCGGCGTGCGTTCGACAAAAGGGGCATTCGGGCCGTGCGGTTTGTCGTGACGAGGGGCGGGTGCGTCGCGCCGAGGAGATGTGCTGGGCGTGCTTGCATTGAAGAGTCGCAAGGGGCGGCTGTTGTTTCTTCGCTGGACATGGAGGGTGGGATGAAATGCAGCAGCTGCAGACGCTGGCCGACACCGGCTGACACTGGCAGACGCCTGCAGACGCCTGCAGACAGTATCGACGGACTGTGGGAGGGGTGGGCATGACCGCCTGCCTGGCCTGGACGCTGGTGGCACCGTGGCACCGTGGCACTATGCCGCCATGCACCTCATATTCTTTCTTTTGCTTTTGCTGATACGACGTCGACGTACCGTACGGAGTAGGGTGTCTACCAAGGCAGGGCAGCAAGTAGCATCGAGCCGTGAGGAGCGTGCACTGTTACGTCGCGAGTCCCTGGCGCGCTGGCCTGGGGCCCGGGGGGCTGGTCGACGGCGCACTGAGGTTGGTGGTTGGTGGTTGGTGGTGGATGGCACCTTTACCGGACGCCTACCGCCTGGCGCCTACCGCCTGGCGCCCACCGCCCACCGCCCACGGGCTACACACAGTCCACTGTGGCCAGGCTGCTCCGTGGTTCCAGCACCTCGTATCCGGGGTGCCCAAGCCAAGTGCCCCGGCCGCGACCCTGGGCGGGTGCGCAGTGATTGGGCACTGCTATAATTGCTCGCGCCTCGGTGGCAGCAGACGACGAATGCCTGCCTACTACTCCGTACCTACCTGGTAGGTGGTGATCTAGGTAGCATCGAGACGGCCTCACCGCCGCATTCCAGAGTTGCAAATATATCTTGGAGCCGCCACGACTACCGCCGCGCGGGGATGCGGAGCGAGGCAGCACGGCATGGGCAAGCGGATGAGAAGTTGGCAGGGCAGCATGGCGAAGCACGTCGTGCCCCACAGACGGCGGGCGGCAGGCAAGCGCCAGCCAGTCGTGCCCCGCCTTCCCGCCTGCGCCACATTCAATCCCCACCAATCAATTCACACGGTTGCCAACGACTCGGCTAATCTGACGCGCCGTCGTCGTGATTTGCGTCTCGAGTCTCGACGTCGACCTCGACCATGACGAGGACTCTGCCCTTGTCCCCGAGCGCCTCGTCGACTTGTCAGGCTGTCCGAAACCCTTTCTTCCCAGCCTGTCATCTGGCCCGAGTCCTCCTCTTGCGACGCGCTCTCCCGGCTCATCCTGCTCCGGATTCACCGCCCGAGTGGCCTCCATGTCCGCGGGGCTAAAACCTGGCCCGGGACGACGAGCGAGACCAGAAGACCGGGAGGCCAGGAAACCAGGAGGAGACGGCGAGGCTACGATGGAACGGGAGGAAACAGAATGCACAGCTGCCAACGACTTGACTGCAGCAGTGAGCCCGTGGCCCACCGGATGCGAGGAAGAACCGTGGCGTTGTGTCGACGGCGGCGGCAAGGCGAGAGGATGAATGAACAGCAGCCGCAGCGGCAGGACGAGCGATTGCATGACCGCGCAGTCCGTCATGTTCTGCATTCTTTCTTCTTTCTCTCACGGCTCCCCCTTCTGCGCCCGTCTTTTACCGGTCACGCTGTCCTTTGACCCCCCAAATTCCAGTGAACGGCTTGTTCGTCTGCCGAGCCGCACGTCTGTACAATTGCCGAACAAGCAGCACTCTTGATCCATTTTGTTCCGTCGAGTGAAGCTCGCTTTGCCATCCCGAAATCACTTCTCCCTGCTCTTTCCTTATTACTCTCGCACTCGCCCTCTGCGCCGTACACCAGCGCCGTTTCCTGAAGACAAGTCGTCGCCGCCGCCATCACATCGCCCATTTTTGCCGCGTCACGAAATCCAAGTATTTACCTGCTCCCGAAAACAAAAACAACTTGTTCGACCGTACATACATCTCCCTGTATATATAACGCTTTCAAAACGATCGCGCCCTAGGCAAACACGATGGCTAGGTTGCCTCCTCATCTCCGGCGCCAGCTCCTCGCGGGTGTCGTGTCCTCGAACCCAACACCAGCCCTGTTCGCTCGAGACACCTGCGCCGCGAGCGGCAGGACGTCTTGCACGTCGCAAGGTCTCTCGGAAGGCCTGTGTTGCCCCCAAAACAGCCAGTGCGTCCCTCTGGCGGGCAACACCACCGTCATGTGCTGCCCGAGCGACAGCTCATGCGCCAAGATCCAGCCCATCACCTGCGACGTGTCGGAACAGGACCCGACACTACATCCGGACGCTCCCATAAAAACCGTCGCGCGAGGCGCCAAGCTGCCGACGTGCGGTGGCGATTTCTGCTGTCCTTTCGGGTACAGCTGCTCGGCGGATCGCTCGTCGTGTACCAAGGATTCGGACCAGTCCAAGGCACCCCCGGGCATGACGTCAACCGTGACGCCCGCGCCCACGACTACGCCCGGAACCTCGGCGTCGACGACGGCCGCGGCCGCAGCCGCAGCCACGTCAACCGGCGCGAGTCGCGACACCGGCTCGTCCTCTCTCGGGCCCAAGGAGATGTCCATCATCGGAGGCGTGGCCGGCGGGGCCCTCACGCTCGTCCTCATGGCCATGGCAGGACTCGTATTCCTCTGCATCCGGAGCCGGTCCAAAAAGGCTCTCCCGCAAAGGGGCCCCTCGCGAAACGGGCCCGCCAGCTCCGGGCCGTACGGAAACCTGATTTCCGGACCCATCACGAACCCCGACCTGTCGTTCCGCACAGACTTCATCCGTCAGACCAAGGAGGCGCCCCCTCGCGTATCAGTGATGCACTCTCTGCTGGACCGCTGCTCCCGAATGCTGGGCGTGCAAGGACGCGAGGCGCACAACACGCGCATGTCGATACCGAATCGGTTCGGGTCGCCCAATCCGTCTCTCCAGTCGTCGCGCATGTCACGATCGTCCCTGACGTCCGAGGACGAGCGCAACGCGCGCACCGGACATGTCGGCGCGCGTCTGCCGCCCATCCGGCAGCTGAAAGGCTCGAGCAGGTTGTCGTGCAGGATCTCGACGCACGACTTCTACCGTGACTCGGCGCGGGACAGCATCGCGTTTGCCGACCCCGGCGCCGCGAGCCAACCCCACCGCGGCGGCAACGTGCAGCGCGGCACGACGTTCAGCGACTTGATGAACCAAGTGACCGTGGGCGACGCTCACCGCAACGACGGCTACGTGCCTGGCAGTCAGAACCTGCTCGTTCCCGGAACGAAGCACAGCTTGCGATGAACATGTCTGCCGGCCGCAGCCTTCGCAAGTAGTCGACCGCCCTGGACACACGATGAACACGGGAAGCATGTACGTTGTAAACAAAGACGGCGCTGGCATTGAATGCCAAGGCAAATGCAGCGTGCGACAGAGGACGACACGCGGCGTCAGTCCATGAACAGGGAAGAAAGGGGACAAGGGGACCTGGGTCACTGCATCAACAATTTCTTTTGTCTACGGCGCTTGGCGGCAGGGCAGGGTTTCGTGCTGGGCTGGCATGGCGGTCTGTTTTTTTTTTTTTTCTTTGCACTGTTTATCGCTTTGATACTCCCGATAGTTTGTAGGCATAGAAGCTTGAATGTTGGGGCGCGCGGAATCATGTGTTCCATCCAGCATTGGGAAACGGCGGCACGACGGGCCATGATGCTACAATATAGACGCTGTGCTGTGACGTCAAAGCAGCAGCGACAACAAGTCTGCTATTTCCATCACCGGGCCTTGTTTGGACAACAGGCGCGCGAACAAGCAAGCGAGCAAGCAAGCAAGCAAGCAAGCAAGCAAGCAAGCAAGTCACCCCCATTGACACCGGCTCCCGAAACTCCCGCCCGTGCCCCAAGTACTGATACAGGTAGAAAAGATAACACAAATTTAGTCCCCCATGGCCTGGTACCAGTTCGGGACTCGCTCAGAAGAAATCACGCCTTCCACAAATGCCATTCACATGACGACGCACTTGTTCTCCTTGGGCTTCGAGGGCGTGGCTACGTCAACCCACCCGCCGCTGTCGGGGACACGCTCCCCCCCCTCCTCCTCTCTCTTCTTCTTCTTCTTGGGTATCCATCCCCTCTTCTTGGCGTCCTTGACGTTCTTTGCTGCGCTTCTCTCCGCCCGGCTGCGACGCCGGCTGACGCCGTTTGGCGTCCTGCGTGACGACGTCGACGGCGTTCTCATCCACATGGGCAAGGCGTTGGCGCTGGGGCGCAAATGGGGGGGCAGTGGCGCCGGCGCCGGCTGGTTGTTGTAAATATTCTGCAGTTGCTGCGCGGTGCCCCCCGGCCTCGGGAAGTGCGCGGGCCGCGGCCGCCGGGGGATCGGAGCGAGGATGGGCGTTTCGGCGTGGTTCGCGGCAGACCCCCGCCGTTGAGGCGGATCGTGGGACCCAGAAATCCCCGTCGGCGTGCTGATGATGAGGGGCCGGTCCGAGTCGGCGACGTGGAACCGCCCCTCGTCGGCAGGAAACGCCGGGGACTGCGCCTGCGACGGCGAGCCACGCGGCTCCTCCGTCGTCGCGCTGCGGCCCTTGTCCATCCAGAGCTGCTGATTCCAAGCATTGCCCGACAGCCGGCGAGGGTTGCCCTGGCTGATCCTCTTGTTGAGGCTCGCGATCTGGCCGGAACTTGGCGCGGGCGGCAGAAACCCCGCTGCCAAATCGTTCGCAGTCACGCCCAGAGGCGGAGCGGTAAGAGGATGCCCAGGAAACTGCCGTGGCGGGCCCACGCTCGACTGTGCTCCTGGCTGAAATTGCTTGGGCCACGTTCGGGCATTGGACAGGCGCCGCGGCTCTGCTCCTGAGGCGCCAGCGAGGTTCGACGGAGACGAGGGAATTCGCAGCTCCAACACCGGCGCTCCAGGCCGCGCTCCAGACCGCGCTCCAGGCCGCGCTCCAGGCCTGTTGCTGGGTTCGGGAGTCGGGGAGGCGGCCTCCGGTGTCGCTCGAGGGAACTCGGTCCATTGCTGTGACGGGGCCGAGTCGAAAGAGGCTGCAGCCGATGTGTTTCCGCGGGATGTAGGAGACGATATTTGCCCCGGGGGCGCCGCGGACTCGCTGGGGTGCGTAGATGGTATGCGTAAGGAAGCTGGCGGCGACACGTCGTAGATATCGTCGCCCTGGACTGATTGCATAGAAGGTGTGGATACCGGTCGAGGTAGGTCTACCGCCTCCAGTCTATTCATATTTGCGGCCTCACTTGTGGGATCCTGCTGAGCCCGCCTGTCTTGATGTTGAGGCCCAGTCCACTTTGCCTGCGCCGACTGCTCCAGGGCCGACGTTGGGGAGTTGTCGAAAGCTTCACCAGTGGAGCCGCCGCCGGCGGAAGGGGGTGGGAAGTCGTTCGTGACTGCCATTGGCGCCACGGATGGTCCGCGCATAAAGTCTGGCATATCACCGGGGTCCTCCTTCTGATAAGGAGGGGGAGGAGGCACCCAGTTGTCGGCATCACTTTCATGAGGGTGTTCAGCGCGGCCGTCTGCCCGGCGATACTCAATGGGGCGGCCATCTGCCGTGCGGGGATTCAGTCGCCGGTTCACGGCCGCGGCCGTGGCTGCCCGACGAAGAGTGGTGCCAGACCGAGGGCTAGCGTGTGCGTAGGGTGCATCAAGAGCCTCCTGCTCATCCATGGACGCGACTTCTTCCTCGGCCTGCGAAGTGGGTGCTGCGGTCCGGCGGTTGATGGGGTGTTGTCCAATCGTCCTCGGGGCCAGCGGGTCGTCGTCGTCGTCGTCGTGAGCATTTGCAATGGTGCTGGGTACTACGAGTCGAGGGAGTGGCTCTCGCCCGGCGACGGTGGTTGCTGCTCGAAGGAGAGCAGCGCTGCCTCCTCGCCTCTGGGCGACAGTTCTTCGCCGGACTATGGCCACCTCTGTTTCCAGGTCATGTCGTTCCTCGGCCAGGGGTTCGGCATTATCAGTTCCTACTTCAATCGTGACTTCTGTACGGTCTCCATTCACAAGGCCGTAATCAAAGTCCAGCAAAACGATACGCCCGCCGTCGACAAAGTCGACATCCTCTTCATCCGTCACTAGCTTCGGGCCCGAGACTCCAGTGGCGGTAACTACAAGCCGTTCCTGGGAGGAATGCTGGCCAAAGTTCCCAACCCACTTGACACTACCAAGACCACTCAACTCGGTAACCTTGAAGCCGGCAACAAGATTGTTCCGCAGCTTGTCGCAGAGAATCTGCCACTGAGGCACTCGCTCGGTTTCAGCACCATCTTGACCCCTGGTCGAAGTGCGACGGGACAAGCTGCTTTGAGCACTATTATTATGCCTGCCCAGTCCTGACGAGTTCGAATTCGACGAAGAATCACGACTTGCTGGCGAGGCTTCGGGTACAGCATCCAGGTCCTGGGGAACGCCATAAATCCAAACCTCGCTGCCCTGAAAGCCCGCCGAAACCAGCTCCCCCTGAGAGGTGGTGGCGGGCAGAGTACAGGGCAATAGCTTGGTCTGCAGTTTGGCATTTGGAATCGGGCCTGTGAAGTAAGTTGTGCCATTCCGGAGATCATCGAGTCGGACGGCGCGAAAGGTTTCGAAGCTGCGGTCATAGGTGAATGTCCACTCGGGCTCTCCGTGCTCGTCGTCGGGCAACCATATGGCGTGACTGCAGTCACGGCTCGTATTGGGGAAAAGGATGGAGGTTGTCCACATGGCACCCGCATTTTCCTCCAACATCTGGCTGCCGGGATCATAGTACGGTGCTGTCAGAACCACAGTGGACGGCGGACAAGAGTTTACAGTGGTGCCCAAAAGCTGGGTTCCGTCGAGCGAAAAGGCCAAGGCGTCGACTGCGTCACATTTGACAGCCCGCTTCTCCGTCGCCAGGGTCGAAGACTTCACGGAGAACACCTCGATCCCTCCGTCATATGCGGCGGCAAGAACGGCGCCGCAGGATGATAATGCAATTGTCTGCGGCTTATTGTCCAAAACGAGGGAGTGCTCTCTATGTGGTGGCGATTGGGTCATGTCATAAATATCCACCTGCATCTCACTCGACAAGACGGCCAGGGTATGAGCGTCATCAGTAACGCAAGCCGCAGCTGGTCGCCGTTGAATCTTCAACTCCCGTTCAACGCTGACAGCGGAGCTACAGACATCGATGACGTAGATTCTCGACGAGTTGTATGCCAGAATGTGCTGGCCTCTGGGCGAGGAGGCAAACTGCATTCCCTCCCCGCCCGGAGCCGACGAAGAGCTGATTGAATTGGAGACGAGCTTTATCAAGGTCCGTTTGGGGCGCAGGTAAGGCTCGAAGAGGTTCCGTTTGACCTGTCGCGCAAAAAGACGGCGAAGCGTGGGTAGATTGTCATGGACAGCGGTAGGAACGCGGGGATGAGAGGCCGCATAGGACGGGCAATGAGCTAGATGATGTGCATAAATGTGAGGACGCTGAGACGTTGCTCTCCATTTGCGATTGAGGAGAATCAGGGAGGCGAAGTCGCTGGGTTTGGCGGCGAGGAGTATCCTGGTGGCAGGTCAGCAACCATGTTGACCACGGACGGCAGAGCAGACGATGCGGTGGTGCCGGTGCCGGCGTCGGTCCCGCAGAGGGAATGCAAGGCTTACTGCTCGATGATCTCGTCGGGAAGTCGATGGAAGGCGTCGGAGTCGGTTGAGATGTGAAGAGGCGCCTTTTCGATGCTGGACGGCCGCGCTCCTGTCACGACGGGGTGGTCCATGGTATGCGCAGACAATCGCTCACGGCCAGCGGTGGGATGATGGTCGCAGCAATCATGGAGGCACAGAAGGAATCAAGAGGTTGCCAAGCCGCGGGGAAATGACATGACGCTCTGAAGGGGTTTCGGAGGCGGGTGTGAGGAAAATTACGAGCCCATGGCAGAGGAGGGCGAAGGGGGCATTGCCATGGGATAATGAATGGTCGGTCTGGTGTCGACGTCGAAGACGTTTGGCACGAAAAGAGGTCTGGCCTGCGGCGGACCGGACCCACCGCTGGGGCAGGGAGACGTGAAGGGAGCAGCCGTGCCGTGCCAATGACGAGCAGGGAGGCGGCAAGTTGCCAAGTACAAGGTACAAGAACCAACGTCGCACTGTGCGAGCACCGTGTTCCCTTGCTGTTTCAATCAAACGGTGCTTCCACTGTGAGAGTGGCGTGTTTTGCGCGTGGCCCGTCGCCGGTGGCGATTTCCAACGTCATCCTGCTGTTCCCACCGTTTTCGTTTCTCACCTTGGACCTGTACTCCGTACGGAGTACTGCTTCCCCTTCCCCTCACGCTTCGGCCACGTCCTCTGCCACTCCCGCCCTTCGGTGGCTATCAGTGGCTCGGGTGAAGGCTGACGAGCGCTGTGGCGTCGGTGGTGCAGCCCCGACCCGCACGTGACCTCGACGACATGCCGATGCCCGTCTAACGTTACGTAGGCGCTATTCTTGGCAGAATCACCACCAGCGACTTGGGTCGTGTTTTGTGTCTGCCGCCATTCTCACTCTCACTCTCCTCCTCCCACCGGACGGCAAAGCCCACGTTGGGGCTCCAGTCGGAACCCCCAGCCAGGGCAGACAACGCTCGGCAAACGTCCAGGTCATGTCAGCATCCGTGAATAATCAGGCATTTGGGAACGACAACACACCGCCAGGGGCCAGGGGACATGACTTGGAAACATGGGCACATGTTGTTGCACGGTGGCTGGCTATGTATGCTATGCAGGGCTAGACTGTCTGTCTACACGACGTTCCGAGTGCGGGCGCCCAGCGCAGTCCGACAACGATGCCTTCCGTAGTTCCGTCGTACGCCATGCTCTGTACATGATATATTCAGGCCATCCCGGCCAAGCGGACGGAGGAGGAGCCGGGGGTAGTGTGTGTGTGTGTTCGTATTCATGGCCGGGTGCACGCACGCACGCCGCGCCCATTGCTCTGCCGCTCCGCCGTTCTGCCAAACGCACCGCGCCAGCGACATCAAAAGCGACGCTCTCCGCCCGCCCGCAGCCACGTGGCACGTGTCGTCGACTCGGGGCCTCGCGCATGAGAATCCATCTATTTGGGAACACGGGGCTTCGTCCGGGAACTGCAACACGGCAGACTTCATGCCGCAGCCCTCGAGACTCGCCACCACCGCCTGCCTTTTGTGCGTCGTGTCTGTCCGTTGACGCAGAGGCTATCTGTTGCTGCAAGTACTTGGTAAACAGGTACGGTGGTGACATGTTGAGAATAAAAAATAAAAATGAAAACCCGAGGCCCAAGGCAGATTTTTCGTCATAAGCGCAAGCGGCGGATGATGACGCGCCTCTGGACGTACAGAGTCATCACAATGCCTAGTCCAAAGAAGACTGGCATCAGGCGGGCGTGGCCCAGGTGGTTGATGAGGCGGGCATCGTACGAGTGCCACGAAGAACTGCCGAGGTGCTCAAAGAGGGGCGTCACGACTCTGCCGTTGAGGCTGTGAAGGGGACCCGGCAGGATCTTGTAGTCTCTCCGATTCGGCTGCAGCGCGTGCAGGACGGAGGCGAAGTGGCCGCCCGTGCTGAACATGACGGCGGCGTAAGGCAGCCCGAACCACCGCTTGTTGTAGGCCGGCAGGTTGTCGAGAATGGTGCCGATAAAGGGATTGTGTCTACTGGCCATGAGGAAGCTGATGGAAAAGCCCGTGGGGTGAGCCTCTGGTGCGACGAAGCCGAAGCGCCTCAGCGGTCCGAGAGCCCGTCTGCATCGCATGTCGAGGTCGAGAATGGCTCCGCCCATTTCGTACAGAATCATGTATCGCAGGGCGTCGATGCGTTCTATCGGGTACGGGTAACTGTGCCACATGTCCATGAGCTCGGGGAATTTGCCCTCGACCAAGGCAGCGGCGTCGTCGTCCGTCCACAGTCGCGTCTGCCAGCCGGGATGCAAGTCGACACAGCTCTGCAGCGCCTCTTCCCACTCTGGGCGCCAGTCTTGTCTCCTGGTGCCCAGCGCGATGTGGTGCAGCACGGGAGGAACGACATCCTGGAACGGCTCGCCTGCGCTCAATTGGTCGCGAGTGTAATTCGAAAATGTCACGTCAAAGTCGTCGCGCTCGGCCGAGAGGATGAAGTCGGCGGCGTTGGCGCGCCAGTGCACCTTGAGCGACACAAGCGCCCATGTCTGGTATATGACATCCTGGAAGAGTAATACAACGGTGAAGAGGATCACCGGTATTGCCCAGAAACTCGGCCGCCATCTGAATGTGTGTGATGGCAGGGGCCTGTGCAGTGCCATTGCTGTTGCTGTTGCTGTTGCCGTTGCTGTTGCCGCTGCCGTGACGTCTGTGTAAGCCAAGTGATGATGATGCGAGGGCAGCTTAATAATGCGATGAATTGCGCAAGGACGCAAAAGACGCAAAGGAAGAGAGCAAGACGACCAAGAAAGGAGGCAGACAGGACAGGAGACGTGGGACGGAGAGGAAAAAAACAAAAGGTCAGGAGGCGCCTGCCAGATGGGAATGGTTCTGGTCAATTTGTCAACTTGTCAATGCACAATGCACTACAAAGATGCTTGGCTTGGCCTAGTCTGAGGGTCTGGCAGAGCAGCTCTTGAGAATAGAACAGAATCCCCTAGGGCAACGCGCAGATCACATCAATTGATGTTTGCAATCAATCCATCGCTCTGCAAGGTTGGCAACTGGCGACGATTGCCAGCTTTTGCCGTCGAGGCCATGGTGTTCGGCATATGTACTTTTCAACCCAAAAATGAGCCACCCCTGGATACCTGGGCTCGTATCTAGGGCCCCAAGCTTAAATGGGTAGTATAGATGAGAGCTGTACGTGTCATGACATGTGTCTCCTCGTCGTCATCGAGTCCCTGGGAGGGACTTGTTGCTACCGATCCCGGAGCGTAGATGCGTCCTACCAAGTCCATCCAAGGACAATAGATGCAAGGCGCAGGGCCGCCTCGTTGTCTGGCCTGTTCTAGTCCATACTCCGTAACCAGGTAGCTCAGGCAGGAGATGATGGCCTTGCCTTGATCTGGCCTGTTTGGCCCCCCCCCCCCCCCTTTTTTTTCCCCCCCCTCTCTCTCTCCTAGCAATGCCTGAATGCCAAGACACTGGCGCGTGTGTGAGATCAGCGTGAGATGCGTTTGAAAAAGTCCAGGAACAAGCAACAGGAAGCGACTAAGCGGGTCGTCCTCCCTCCATATCCATGACTCCATGTCCCGGCACAACGTCGTCAACGATCAATCATCCTAAAGCCTCCATCAGTTGTCGTCCCGGCTTCGCCAACACACAGCTTCAACTCCTGCGCGCCAAACCACGCGGACCACGGGCCTCGTACCATTAGCCCAGCCGCAACCTTAATGTTGGACGTGGTAAGCTGTGGATTGTCAAGCTCCGTTTGACAATTCTCGACGTCAAACCCGGCAGCCCATTGGGTAGCCGTCACTTTGTTTCAGCTTCGCGTCTTACATGTCTGACTTTGCCAAATCCCAACTTAAAACTTAAAACGTGGCCCCATTCTTGGTAAACTATGATTATGGCTATGGCTATGGGGATAAACTCACAGGCGTGTTGGTATTAGCGCCCAGTGCTCCGCAGTTGCTCGGCAAGGCGCCACTGTATCATGAGCCGGCGTGTTATACAAATGTCCGTGTCCTTGCCCGGGTCCGTGGGGTTTCCTAAAACCAGTTCGACACCTTCCCTTGTGACTAGTTGATCCCCTAGAGGGAATCCAAAGACTTGCAAAGGGACTCGTTATCGACAACCTACATGTGGCGCCCAGCTTTGTAAGCTGCTCCACCCCAGCAGTCTTGCTCAGGCTTGATCTGATAGGCGCCAAGGTTTGGAAGTAACTAAGTATGTAGTAATGCCAATCCAATCCAGACCGCCTGGCGGCCGGAATTGTATGATTACGGGTTGTTAAAGTCAAACGGCTCAGAGAACGGGAGTTGACCACTCAAAAACTCGTCGGTGATCAATGTGCCGAGGTCGTCATCAAAACTAGCCAAAAACTCCGCCGAGGCGTCAGCACCGCCAAGCTCAAGTCCAGTCATCAAGTCTGGCGCGTTGAGAGGTATGTCGGGAGGCAATGTTGTTTCGCGACGCTTCCTCGCCACAGCCACGCAATCGCGAATCTCCTTGACGCACGGCAGGCTGTTTTGAATCTCGTCCATGGCCTCTGTCAGCAGGGATAACGAGCGTTCAATCTCAGGGTCATCCCACGATGATTCTTGAAAGAACCGCTTCATCATGACGGCTCCTATTGCCGTGGAAAGCGTTTGTGCAAAATCCAGTGGCAGAGATCTGTACCGATAATAGCGAGAGTAGCTCCGCATGAGGCGCAGGATGGCCTGCAATGACTCGTAACAGATTTCAACATCTTCGCTTTCTGATATTCCAGGCTTTTCGAACATGTTTGACGGTGGTCGGTGGAGGATGATCATGACGGTGTGAAACAACATGCTGTCAAGGCGTTAGGCGCTGCTTGGAAGAATTCTGTTGCCAAATAGGCTGTGTCTCAGACTCACTGCAGGTGAAGTACAGGCGACGGCACCTGTCCTACTGTCCACTGATTCCAGTGCAGTGTCCCTGGCAAGCTAGCAAGCCATTTTGTCAGTGAAACGTGGATCTTGCGCGACTTGGCTGCTGCAATGGCTGGACCAATATCCCCCCGCCGATTCTCAAAAAGATCTGCAATCATGATGTGAATAATCTTGCAAAGTTCCGCCTGGTATATAAAGGAACCAACAAGTGCCACATCGTTTTCGTAGTCTGATACCGTGGCACCACTACAAATGTATGTTTCCAGCAGATTTTGCCAGTCATGAGGATACTGAAGCCTGATGGTGTTTCGCACATCCGACTCGCTGGGATAGAGAGCTGGAGGTCGTCCGAAGTACAAGCTCAGCTGTTTATCGGCTATGAAGATTCCCCAATACACTCTCCGGAGGATCTCTCTATCACGGAACAAACTCGAGGAGCCATCCCAGTTACTTGGGTCCAGATGCAGCCCCATCTCGTGAGCAAGCCGAAAGGCCATGCCGCAGAAGAGCCATCCTTTAGATGTCTGCCCGACAGCGATTTCGCGATGCCCTAGCAAAATAAGGGCCTGGAGCGTGGTGAGGTCGGGCTTATCTAGGGTTGCAAAAAGCAGCGCTTGCGCCTGTCCAGAAAACACGTCAGATAGTTTAAAGAAGTCATCATAAAGAAGAGCTGACAGCGAACACATCGAGTAGAGAAGCAAGTCGGAGTAGTATCTCCCCGAGCCTACGTCGTAATCTCTCAAGAAGTATTCCCGGTAAACCACCATGTTATACTGATACTGCTCCGTGAAGAAGGCGGCCATCAAGGTTTGAGAAGTCTGGTCGTGAGGCGCATATTGAAAGCTGCCACCGGTCGAACTCGACTCCTCGAATGTGAAATCTTTTGTTCCTGGCGTCGAACTGATTTGGCCGTTGGCTGAGGCAGGACACGTCGTCACTTGCGTTTCGTCTCTAGAGAAGTGAATTTGAAACGAACTCGTTCCACCAAAGAACTGCACCGCGTTGCCAGCTCGCGGTCGTCTCAACTGGCCAGCGCGCAACCGCGCAACAGCAACTCCATGGTCACCAATCGTCGTGTTTGGCTGAGTCTTTTCGTCAAGCAATGTGCCGCCCTCGGGCGACGAGCTTAGAGATAACCCTGAGAGAATCTCGTCTTTTTCCGTGTCATCTGCAACGGCCAACTTGCGAATCACTTGCTCCAATGCATTGATTTGGCCCTCTAGAGCCTGTACGTAGCTTTTCGAGACTGGCCTGGACCGTGGTAAGCATAGCACGAGAAAAAGCATAGGGCGGCAACTCGCAAACTATCTCACCTTTGCTTCTCGCCGGTTCCTTGCAGCACACATTCCGTGCCTGCCTTGATACATCGCGAACAGGGGCGTTTGCGGTCACATTTTATCTGTGCATCTCGTCAGCTTTTCAAATCGTATTTCTGGGTGTCGTTCTGCTCAGTGCCCACCTTGCGACGGCGACATCGCTCACACCTGGGGGCCCGTTAGTTTGTAACCTGAAAACACACATTCTCGTGATCAGCTCACGATATCTTGATTGATTCGCCCATGGGAGTTGCCTCCATCACGCTTAATCTTTGTCGACTGACAGTATCCGGGGTTGGCTCCTATCCGTTGGGTGCACAGGGTGAGTCATGCCAAGGGAGTTGGAACTTGAAGGAAGGCGCCACCCTGCAGCGCGACTCGATTTATCACAAAGCTGCATCGAGTCGCGCGTGAAGCTGCTTCATCCAGCTGCGACAACCTACAGCCTGTCAGAGCGGCACCGCGAACGCAGGATAAACGTTGTGTATGTGCTGAATCAAGTCGTTGTGCCGGTGTGCCTTCGCGGCAGCAACCCCTGGACGATACCGGCGCCATCGCTCGGTACCGATTGACGGTTCTCGGCCTCACTCTGCTCCTCCTTCTCCTGACTCTGCCTCGAATCTCTCCAGCCTCTCCAATCCCTGGGACAAACAACATCGTTCCGACTCCAATTGTCTCCTATGGCGAACCCCCACCTTGTGTGCGTTTCTCCACACTTTTTTGTCCGTGTTCGATGCCCACCGACATGTTGCCATGGCCTACGGTCGCACATTAGCTTGCATCTGCAAACGCTGCCACTATGATTTTCCTGATTTGCATTCTGCTGATTTGCTGTAGCGCTGCGCACGTCTTTGCAATTGTAGTTAATTGCTATATATATCTTTATAATTATTATTAACTTTAATATTATATAAAATACTTGCTTAAACTTATATATTTGCTTATACTCTCTATAGATATATATATTATTTTGCTATTTTGTAATTTTATCTTGTAATATATAAATTAATATAAAAGTAAATACCTAGCTACTATATTTTTATTATTTAAGTAAGACTTATCTTTCTTAATCTTTATATTTCTTTTTTTCCTTCTATAAACTTAAACTACTTTTATTATCTTATTAAATTATTTCTAAACTAGTTTATACTGCCTAAAAAAAAATATCTTATAAATATAAGTTATTACTATAATACTAGTAATACTTCAACTTAGAGAAGTAACTTGCTAATAAGCTTATCTTTAAGTTAAAATTTAATACTATAAGTCTTCTCTAGTAGAAATAATAAAAGTAATAATTAAAACTAACTTAGAAATAATTCTAAGATAGCTAGCTGATTTTATTCCCTAGGGAACTATTCTACTATTTTAAAGTAAATAGTATACTATATAATTAAGTATAATACTAACTAGATATATATATAAATTAATTCTTATTTATTTCTTATAAATATAGCAATATATAATTAAGTTATTACTTTAAAACTATTATATTTAATTTTATAAAATTAACCTAGAGAAGTACTGCCTTAGAGATAATAAGAAGCAATTAAATAATAACTTAGCTTATAAGTTACTATAGAAAATAGTTTAAAACTAGTTATATAATAATTAATATTTATTTTATATAAAATAGTATTTAGACTATATTAACAGCTAAGCGCTATTATAAATACTATATAAGCTTATATAGTAAGGCATAATGCCTTCTAAGGCGATTTCTATTTCTGCTCTTACGCTACTAACTGCTGCTGCTATTGCTGCTGCTAATACTGTAGTTTAAACTGCACGTAATAAAGCTGCTGCTGCTAATGCTAAAGCAGCAGCTGCTATATACTGCTAACTAACAATAGTATATATACTGCCTAAACTACTTGTAAAGTAATTAGAAAAGGAATTAGGACTAATTTTAATAGAATACTGCTAAGCTGCCTGCCTAGTTGCCCTTGCTCTTGCCCTTGCTCTTGCCCTCGCCCCTGCTCTTGCTCTTGCTGTTGCTGTTGTTATTGTTGTTGCTATTGCTGCTGCTGCTGCTGCTATTATTGTTGTTGTTGTTGTTGTTGTTGCTGTCGCCCCTGCCCCTGCCTTTAAGCTCCTCCCTCTCTCTCTCTCTTTCTAAGGACGAGGTTAAGGACGAGGATAAAGACATAGAAATAGTATAAACTACTTACTAAATTATAAACTTTATAAACTAGTTAAGAACTAATTCTAGCTAATAGAATTTGCTTAGTATATTGCTAAATAATACGCTCTTTACTATATAGCTACTATACTATAAAGACAGCCTTTTTATAATTACTAAGATGCACTATATAGTAGGTTTCTAGAGGCTTAATATAGTTTATAATGTTTGTATATTTATTTTATATAGTAAGTTAGTTAAGATTAGAATTAAATTAGAAATAATTTATACTAATAGCTATAAAATGCCCCCCCCCTTGCTCTAACTAGTCTTATAAAGTTTAGAAATGTTTTTATTAGTTTAGTTAGTTTAGTTAGTTTATTTTTTGTTTTTTTGTTTTTCTTTTGTTTTTTATTTTTCTTTTATTTCTTTTGTTTTTTTTGTTTTTTTTTCTTTGTTTTTTTTTCTTTGCTTTTTTTACTTTACTTTTTTTACTTTACTTTTTTTAACTTTACTTTTTTTAACTTTACTTTTTTACTTAGCTTTTATATTTTATTTCTTTAAATTAGTTGCTTAAGTTATTTTATAAATAAATTAAAGATATATTTCTCTAAGATATATTTAGTAAAGAAATTATAAATTATTTATTATCTTAGCTTAATTTAGTCTTAAAATAGTTTAGAAGTAATTTATATATATTTATTATAGTAATATCTAGTAGTTATATTTAATATATTTATTACTTTAGATAGCTATAAAGCTATATAACTAGTACTTAAGCTAGCTACTTTATAAAGGCTACTTATTTCTATT